CATTATCATGTCAAATTGTACAGCTTTCCTTAGTGTTGAATGCAGAAAGATGACTATATTAGAGTATTAAGTGAAAATGACTATATTAAAGTTTTAAGTAAATGTATTAAGTGAATTACTCAAACTGCATTTGTATAGGAATGATTCTGTCCTATTGGCAGATAACTACTCTAACAGTGATATCTACAAGAGATGTAAATTTAACTATTTTCAATTGGTTAGTATTACATTTTGTGACAGTGTGGTGACACTCATTTTAATGAAGACACATTTGTGTATCTTGAAATTCGTTTATTTGACAGAGCTGGAAACTGATTGACTTACACACTTGTTTGTGTTTACCTACACAGTCATCACAGATGAGCCAAACAGAGTAGAGGATGAAGAAAGGGGAACAGGAGAAAGGACACACAAGAAGGAGATACAACAGACAAGAACGACAATGGAGACAACAATGAACAGGAACACCAGAACAGACAAGAGGCAATGGGTAACTGGGGAACTGATTTAGGGACTGCAGATACAAGTCAAGGCAAGTGAGACATCACTGCTTTCCATTTGGCCAGCAAAAGAGATCATTTCAACCGCAAACAGCAAGAGATGAGGGATTATTATTTCCTCCTTCCATCCCTTTGTTCTGTTTAATCTGATTACTAACAACTTCTAATAATTTGACATAGTTTATGATTTAATTGGAAAATGAAGTGTTTTTAAATAATAAGCCCGTTTCTGATTCTTTGATTTCTTTTTGACATATGGGTGTTGAGAGATGTATCCATATCTCTTAATGTTGCTCTCAAAGTGCACAAGATTGATGCTTTTAACTTCAATATTTAAAAAAAATCTTCCTGGGGGAGCATGGCCCGGCCCCCCCAGAGGAGGTGAGTTCCCCCCAAAATAGCACTTTATCTCTGCTTATGTAACTCCGGTGTAGTGTCCGCTCGTCAACAGATCACTCAGAGCTGATTACTTTCCTGCATTTCAATGGACAGCATATAAAAAGGACACGTGAGCTGCATTGCTTAAGAGATCCTCTCATGCTATCTCTTTTACAAAATAAGTGTCCAGTCAACAACAAAACATCAGTGATCGTATAGTGGTAGTATATTTTTCACAAGCAATGTGAAACATTAAACTTGTTCGCTGGGCATGTCAAAAACCTCCCTGCTTTGATCAAGACTTTAGGGAGCCTTTCAGCCCCTCTAGCAAAGGGACTGGAAAGCAAGCTTTGAAAATTCAGTACCATCTACATGCTGTCATGTTCCAGACACTGCTCTCAACCACTCAGGGCCTGCACAAATACCTGCAGAAAGAAACAATTGACTTGGTGCAGGCTGTAGATTACAAAACAGCAGTTGAGAACACACTGAAAAGTTACCGAAGTAACAAGAAAGCACATGAGGTCTATGACAAGACCAAGGCCCTGTGCAATGATCTTGATATTCCCGACACAGAGGAAGAAGCGTAGAAACATGGAAGACTTTGTAGTCGAGGCATCATGTGGAGCAATGTGAAACATTAAACATAAATAAACTGGTGTACAAAACTCACATACCTGCATTTCAATGGACAGCATAAAAGGACACGTGAGCTGGGTTCTGTTGGAGAAATAGCACCATGCTGCTCACATGAGTTTATTAGCTCAGATTAGCTATTGATGATCATGTTGATAAATCATATAAAACAAATAGCCAATCACACAAAAAACATGTTGCTGTGACTGTGAGCATTACACAATTAACATTAAACTAAACAAACACAACAGTACGTTATTGTCCTTATAAAATAAAAACATACATTTTGTCCACCGAGATAATACAGGCACCTTACCCTCAAGTGATCCTCAGGTGCTATGAGAATCTCCCACAATGCATTGCCGTAACAAAGCTAATGCAGGCACACGTTTGTGACATCAGATGGCGCAATTGTGTATGTGAAATTGTAGAAATGTAGAAAATTCGACTGTAGCGCCGCCACTGTGGGCTATGCCCCGAATGTTTCCAGGTCCAGGCGACGCCCCTGGTTGAATCAATGGCAGTCTACCCATTGATTCTAACAAGGGGAGATGTGGTGTTACGTCAGGGATAAATGCAAACAAAATGTATACAGGTTATGTAGAGCCACCCAACGGGTACAGTCCAGCTCAAGTTCTCATGGGGAGAAGGCTTTGCACGATGGTGCCAACATTACCGACCTTGCTGGATCCTGCTCTTCCCAACAGTGAAGCTGTACTGTAGCTCTGCATCATAGAGGGACCAATGGGAAATCAGACCAACTCACCGTCATCTCACCCCCATGGACTCCTCATCTGAAGATGGGTTCAAGAGCAGAGTGCTGCAGGAAAGACTAGGTTGTCTTATACAATTTAAGTGACAATTTAGAGAGTTTATTAGGAGAAAAAAGTGTTGTTCATTAGAAGGAAAATCGTTTACAGTTCCATGTGAGCCATTAGCATGGTGTATTGACACAGAAATATCCTAAGGTTACATAATGGTTCATAAAGGTCAAATGTTATTTGATTATCTCAGGTTCAGATAGGAACAGACCTTCCAGCTATAGAGGCAGAATAATCCTCTAAGGTCGGATGAATCAATGGCAGTCTACCCATTGATTCTAAACTTATAGGGGAGATGAGTAAGGGATAATGTGCACGACTTGACCCTTGATCCTCCTTAGCAACGGCCATTACAGTCATTGACAGCAGTCTGTTAACAACCTGGCACATGTTCTGAATTGACCAATCAGAATCGAGTATACAACTAAGCCGTGTAATAACTATATACATATATAATAAGGTTCAGATAGGAACAGACCTTCCAGCTATAGATGCAGAATAATCCTCTAAGGTTTGTTGAATCAATGGCAGTCCACCCATTGATTCTAAAAAGGGGAGATGTGGTCTCCCTGTGCTACCTCAATGCCACGAGGCTCATTTACATTGAATTTCAGGATGACAAACCTCCCGTCTCTGTCAGGGACGCTCTCTCCTCCTCCTTAATAGGCTTATTGCATTACGCCAAACCATAACTGGAAAAATGCAGTTATTAACTGATCTGCTCAATTAAACAAGGAGAAAAACAGACATAAGTTGAGCACAGGTGTTTGGGTTACGTAAATGATAATGTGTACGACTTCACTCACAATATTAATTGAAATTATTTTAATGACTTAAAAATTATCTTATTTCTTCTATAGAACTAAGCCGTGTAATAACTTATAATATATATATATATACTAAGGTTCAGATAGGAACAGACCTTCCAGCTATAGAGACAGAATAATCCTCTAAGGTCTGTTGAATTAATGGCAGTCTACCAACGACTTGACTCCCAATATTAATTGAAATTATTTCATGGAGTTATCTCCCTTGATCCTCCTTAGCAACGGTCATTATAGTCCTTGACAGTGTCTGTACTACTGTATTCACATGTTCTGAATTGACCAATCAGAATCGAGTATACAACTAAGCCGTGTAATAATTTATATATATTTCAGATTGTTCATATAGAACAGACATTCCAGCTATAGAGGCAGAATAATCCTAGAAGGTCTGTTGAATCAATGGCAGTCAACCCATTGATTCCAAAAAGGGTTGTGGTGTAATTGTGTGTGTTACTGTGAAATAGCCAATAGTATTAAGCCCTATGGGCGCGGTGCAGTGTCGTCATCCAGGTACGACAGGTAATGCTAGCATGGTAGCTCTGTGATATTTTCAACGTGCCCAACCAAATAAAGACTCACATAAAATATACAGTTGAACTTGTGTGTATTATTGGATAACACAACATGAATCAGCATTTGCAGACGAAGTTTCCATGTTTTGAAACATTTCTCCCAGCAAATTGATCAGAAGTCGAAAATGCACTCATTTACCCAGAAAAACTCACTACACGGGGTGAAAATCCTGCAGCATACCCCTGCTCTAAATGTTTTGATGTTAATCTTTCACTGTAAGCCCAATGACATACTGACATAGGCTTTAAGGTGTATTTGTTATAATGCTACTCTGTTCAATACAAATGCAAACATTTAAATGTAAATACATAAACAAATTTTTACTGGGAATTATGTAGAAATTAAGAATTCCTGCAAAGTCTTTCATAAATCAAGCCCTTTAAAAGTGTACGTGTTTCCTTCTATAGGTACAATGAACAGAGGTTACATTGGAATCATTTGTTACACCCAAAGTTACGAAAGGAAAATATTGTCTGAAGGCTGAAGATGGCTGACTTTGAATGTGACCATTAAAAAGAACCACTCTAAATTGATTTTCAGAGGCCGGTAACAGCTCAGCTCAATCATATTTAAAAACAGTTTGGTATATTTCAAGAGCAACAATGCCATTTGGCTTCTTTTTTTTTTTTAAAGCAAGTAACATGTAAAAGTCTGGCATTGATGAATTTAAAATTCCCATAGATTGACAGAAGTGTTGGGCCTCCCTATTTCTGAGGCAATAGACATGTGGTCACTGAGATGTGTAAGGATCAATTTATTTGGGTTATGACCAGGTTATGACTCAAACACTCATTCATTCATGCACTAACAGTTGGTTTTTCTGACCCCTGGTGGCCATGACAGGATGCAGTGAAGCAGGATACTTCACTTCCCCGTTCCCCGTAGCGTGTTTCACGTCCTTAACCCGTCCCCTTTTCATACAAATTACATTTGCAAACAAATCTATTTAAAGCTGGATAACATGTCATCAGCACTAGTTTTACTGTATGTCATTAGTTCGTTTTCTTGGCTTTTTTATTTTATTTTTTTTGCAGCTTTCTTTGATCTAATCGTACCCCGTAGCCTACCTTTACCCAAAAGTCTACCAAAGTTTGAATATCATGTCAGCGTCATCTCTGTGCGGTACATACATCACAGTGTGCCTGCTCTGGATGTTAACTTCCCATGTTATCCCTTTCTATTTGCAGCCAGCCACGCCCTTCTGAGCAGGCTGGATAAAGTTCAACAAGTGTCCTCCTGCTTTAGACCAACCGCAGCACCTTTCCAACGAGGGTCAGCGCGTTGTATGCGCGCTGGACGTTTTATTTTAAGAAGGATTCTTTTTTAATAAACGCGGATTCTTCAATTTATAGAAAAAACTCTATAGCATCATTTTTTGTAATTCATAAAGGGACATTTTAAAGATGCTCTGCGTGTTTCCCCACTGATCTTGTGAAGCCAAAGGGAGAAGACACCTCGACAGCCTTCAGGATTTTCACGTTGACAGCAGAGGGCTTATTGGAGAGGCAGCAGGTTAGTGTGAACGATGGCTGGATGCTGTGTGTCTGGGGAGGACAAAGAGAACCAGAGGATCAACGAGGAGATCGAGAAGCAGCTACGCAGAGACAAGAAGGACTCTCGCAGGGAGCTGAAGCTGCTGCTGTTAGGTGAGAAACTCTAAGCAGGGATCACACCTGGAGGGGTTAACAATGCCTCTGATTGTCTATAATACCTCTCACACAAACTAGCTGGCCCTTAACCCAAAGTTAGTACAATTCTGGGGTAAATAATAGACCGGAAAATGTGCTCATAAAAAGGGAAACTCCATCCTCATCTCTACTGTGCCACATTTCCGGCCAACATGTCATTCAATAATATTTCAAAGTTGAGCTAAAAAATGATCCTCTGATGGAGTATTTCCTGATCACTCCTGGACATGCAATTATCATGACAGGTGGAGCAGCACCCAATGTCCATTAAACTGAATTTAAATGATAATATAATGCAGGAATAAACAGCCACTTTATATACGGGGCATTTATTCTGTTGAGGCTCTTGATGGCTTGAATATTTGTGACTGCCAACAAGGATCTAATTCATGGGGATGCACAACTTTTAAATCTAACTTGTCTCTACATTTCCTTTCTCCTCATTGCTCTTTCTGGTCTCCGGATGGGGTGCAGTGCGCTCCGGCTTCCCACCGAGCAGCTGCGCGCCATAGCCGTGCCATTCATTGATTTTACGCACTGTGGAGAGTTTTCAACCTTGATTCGTCGAGTCTACCGGAATCATTTAACACCTATCTGCCTACGAAATACTTAAAACAGTCACACGCAAAGCAAGATTTGACTATTTAAAATGATATTGTGTTTTTGGACGATAGCTCGATTCTAGCTTACATTTCTATAAAAACCGTCGGAGTATTTGCTCCTTGGTGGAGTGGATCAGTGTGGGCATTTACTCTAACCTTTTTTTTTTTATTAGGAAAAAATATAGTAAAGGACAATTGTTAGGGGGAAATATGAATGTGATGTCCAGGTATCAATTATCAGTACAGCTGATGGACAGTGTGAGTAACCTAACTGCCCTTTACTTATAGTGTAATGAAAGTGATGTTTGAACATTATGGGAGCCTTTATGGAGATGGTAATAATCTAAAGCTTCGGATGCTCGTAAAAGTTTTTCATTTTTGTCACACACATCACTTCCTGGTATGAATTCACTGACTGCAGAAGGTCTGATGTTGGTTGAGAAATGGCTTAAAGCTTGAGCCCCATTTTTGTTCTTTCAGTGCTATATCATTTAACTGCATGTCTTTGGGGACAGTTGACGGAGCAGGGGGTTTTGACCTGGCATGGCACAGCATCCATGTCTCCAACAGTGCTCTGACACCACCTAAGGCCCTCGGTCAGTGGTGTGTTTGAAAGCCATAACTATAGCTGCTGCGGGTGCGCCTCATGCAAAAGTCATGCAAATCCAGCCCAGAGAAGGACGTGAGCCGTACAGCAGGTTTGCCTCCACTGCTCTCTTAGAAAGGGCTCCATTGAATGTATTATAAATCTGATTGAACTTGCTTTGAAAATGAATCTTTACTAAAAGTAAATGACTGACAAATCCTTAACGTCTGAAAAAGAGGCAGGCCTTAGCATCAGGAAGATTCTGGTTCACTGCTGCCAATGATGACACAGATACTTAAAAGAGTTGCTGCGGGGAAATCTGAAAAATGTGTGTGTGGTGAGAACAAGTCAACAGGCTGGTGAAACTATGAACAGGGGCTTAGCTGTCTGGTGAGCAGGAACAAATATATCATGTGTCCAGCAACTCAGTCATTAAAGCTCAGCATTCAGTATCACTTTTGATTTTCGACATGCTAACTCACTATGTAGAACCTGAACTGATGTGCAGCCATGGTTAGCAACAATACTGTCGAAAATATGTAGCCTAATATGTGTTTCTTTGTATGTAACATTTAGATGTTCAATGAAAATAGATACACATAGTATCAAGTAATCTGTATTATTCAACTTCTGAAAGTAATTAAACAATAACATTTATTTACCTGGACTCAGGGCTCTCAGTGGGGGTCATTAGATGGTCACACTCGGGTCCCCGGAGAGGATGAGTGGGAGTGAAGCAGAATGAAAGATCAACACAAACACATTCAGCCTCTTCTGTCCGTTCAGTAATCTGACATAAAAGCATGTAGGACACGTCAACAAAACTCTATACATACAGTATTGGTTATTTGGTTACAGACTAACAACCATGCAGTCATGTACATTTTAATTAGTTTAGTATTGATATCAACTGACAAAAAATACACTTTTGCTTTGGCTCCCGTTTTACACAAGTAAAACAAAAAGTTCCATGACTTTTTCTGGACAGAAATGTCATAATTATCATTCTCTCAAATGATGGCAACACATTTGTAAAAACATCTTATTTGCTGTAAGTCTTTATTCTGATTGGGAAAAAATGTACTGAAACGAGAGAAAGATTAAATGGAATATAAACGTATACTATAGCTGTAAGATATAAATAATATAGACCATGCTAAACAAGTACATTGACAAAATGTATATGCCTGGCATATAACAGGGAAGGTTTTGTGTGATGAAATTCAGTTTGTTGTAGTTTAGTGAATTATTTTGTACCATTCATTTCCTTCAATCCTCCCCTGCCATGTTAGTTTAACTTTAAAAAAAAGTGATCTGGCAGAGCGTGGCAGGTTATAGTAGTTCTTATCTCGACAACATTAACACCACATTCATTCACAGTCAGCGCGTCGTGACGAGGAAGTTTGTGTAGGTGTGAGCTTGTGTTTATGTTTAATTGTGTTCGTGTGTCATGTCTACTGACAGTGACTCTCTTTTTCTCTCTGTGTGTGTGTGTGTGTGTGTATGTGAGTGTGTGTGTGTGTGTGTGTGTGTGTGTGTGTAGATATATATGTGGTCAGCATTCTTCCAACTGTAAATCACCACAGTGCACCACTTTTGACATATAAAGACATTTACATGCAGACGTACACAGAGATACAAATGTAGGCAAATTAACACGTACAGTATTCATGAACATTAACATCCATGTGACCTCAAGCCACCAAAATAGAGCATCATGTGTTTTACTTACCCATAGTACCACACAGTATCTTTCTCACTGAGTCTTTCCAAACTCAAACTAAGATGTCCCTGATCAAAGACTAGACATACGATATATGTTTTATATTCATTCAATTTGATTGCTTGTGTCCACTGAGGTAGAACTATTTACTGATAATATTAGTTTAGTAATGTGTGCTCAAAACTTGTATGCTTGTTGCTGCACTTTTTGTATGACTTCTGTATGTGTTTTACAGCATAAGGAAGTGGATAAATCAACTGTAAATCAACAAATAAGTAAATAATGTTGACATAGCGAGGAATACTGGAGACCATGTAAGTCATTCTGTTTTGATACTATAACATGGCATCTGCTGAGTCTGATCTGAGCCATTGAAATCACTACATACAATTCCACATTAATGTTTCGAATAGAATAACTAATTAACCTCACATGACTCCTTCTAGAGACTTTAACACCAGGAGGCACAGATGTTAAAAAAAGTGAGGCCTCTCATTTAAAGTTGATTCTCTTAAAACAAGTCAGACACAGGAGATGATCATTTGCCTCCTTCTCAGAGTTGACCTATCTGTCTTGCTCTAACCCCCCTAATTTTCAAGAAACTTGACTTGTAAACAAGATGCATTCAAATATAGACATTTGTCTAAGCCTTGTTTGCTAAGATGGAAAAACTCAAGTATTCGTGATGTCATGCAAAACAGCCAGGAAACTAGAACACTGCTGGCACCACTCAAAGTCATCACACAATGTAGCTCTAACACACTTCGCTGACACACAGTCACACACACAGTCACACACACACACGGAAACTTTCAATAATTTGTCTGGTAACAAACACAAACACACATTTGTTAAACAAATACATTCTGCATCATGTGGTCTGAATGAGAAATGTGGACTTTGTGTTTTAAAGAGGAATGTGACAGAATGTTGGTGTGTGTTATAAACTAAGACAGTTAATACATATGACGATATAAGTCAGTGCATTTATAATTTATTTCATCATAACTAAAGAGCAGTGTGCGTTTCCATTAAAGTGTGTGGAAACGCACACTGCTCTGTTGCTCCATGGCATGTTGGAATAAATATAAGACATACATTTTTTTTCAACTTGATTTTTTAGTAACAAGCTACGAAGAAACAGACAGATGAGTGTTGAAAGATATGACAGGATTTAATCTTCACTGTATCCGACAGGCACTGGAGAGAGTGGGAAGAGTACCTTTATCAAACAGATGAGGATTATCCATGGAGGAGGATACACAGATGAGGACAAGAGGAGCTACGCCAAACTGGTCTTCCAGAACATCCTCACCTCCATCCAGACCATGACCCGAGCCATGGAGGCACTTGGGATACATTTAGCTGATCCCAATAATCAGGTACTGCTGACAGACTAAAACTGGCTCTTCAACTTTTGAAATCAGTGAGAATTTATTATTAACGTCAATGTCTGGGGTTGATTTTAGATTCATTTTTTGGCCAAATTGAAATGGATTTTCTTTTGTTTAAATGTGTTTAGCACATTTTAATGATGCGGGAAAATACAGGTATATTCTGACAGACAGTTTAAGAAAAATAATGTTCTTTTTCAACATTTGAGCCGTTTACCGTCTTTTAGTAAAATCCCCTCTGTCTTTGTGTCTATAGAGCCATGCCAACCTAGTCCTTGAGTTGGAGGTGGACAAGCTGGAGGAGTTTGATCAAGACCTTGCAGCGGCTGTCAGATGTCTGTGGGACGATGGCGGGATACAGAAATGCTATGACCGGCGCAGGGAGTACCAGCTGTCCGATTCCACCAAATAGTGAGAATTAGATAAACAGGTGTAACGTGTTGCTCAATATTACATTACATTACATTGCATTTAGCTGACGCTTTTATCCAAAGCGACTTACAATAAGTGCGTTCGACCAATAAAATACAAACTTGAAGAAAACAGAATCATATAAGTACATCAGGTTTCATAGAGCAAAAACATTTCAAGTGCTACTCAACTGGCTTTAGATAAGCCAGTCCTTTATTAGTATATAAGTGCTTTGTTAATAGTTCTATTGCTCAAAGTGGAGTCGAAAGAGATGAGTTTTCAGTCTGCGCCGGAAGGTGTGTAAGCTTTCTGCTGTCCTGATTTCAATGGGGAGCTCATTCCACCATTTTGGACCTAGGATAGCAAACCCACGTGTTTTTGCTGATGGGAACTTGGGTCCCCTTCGCAGCGAGGGCGCAACGAGTCGTTTGGCTGATGCAGAGCGGAGTGCACGTGCCGGGGTGTACGGTTTAACCATGTCCTGGATGTAGGAAGGGCCAGATCCATTCGCAGCATGGTACGCAAGTACCAGTGTCTTGAAGTGGATTCTAGCAGTTACCGGAAGCCAGTGAAGTGAGCGGAGGAGCGGCGTGGTGTGGGAGAATTTAGGGAAGGTTGAAGACCAGACGAGCCGCTGCATTCTGGATGAGCTGCAGAGGTCGGAGGGCACATGCAGGTAGACCAGTCAGGAGGGAGTTGCAGTAGTCTAGGCGTGAGATGACGAGAGTCTGGACCAGAACCTGCGTCGCTTTCTGGGTCAGCTGGGGACGTATCTTCCTGATGTTGTAACGCGTGTAACTGCAGCAGCGGGTTGTAGCAGCGATGTTTGCAGTGAAGGACAGTTTGTTATCTAGGATCACACCCAGATTCCTTGCAGTCTGAGTCGGGGAAACAACAGAGGTGCCGATGTTGATTGTTAGGTCAAGAGTGGGGCAATCTTTTCCCGGAAGGAAAAGCAGTTCAGTCTTGTCAAGGTTGAGCTTGAGGTGATGAGCAGACATCCACTGAGAGATGTCAGCTAGACAAGCAGAGATGCGTGCGACGACCTGGGTCTCTGAGCGGGGAAAGGACAGAATGAATTGGGTGTCGTCAGCGTAGCAATGGTATGAAAAACCATGCGGGCTAATGACAGATCTGAGCGAGTTTGTGTACAAGGAGAAGAGGAGGGGACCAAGAACAGAGCCCTGAGGGACCCCTGTAGTTAATTGACAAGGGTCGGACTCGGCCCCTCTCCAAGTAACCCTGTAGGTACGGTCTTTGAGGTATGACGTGAGGAGGGAAAGTGCAGAGCCTGAAACTCCAAGTTCTTGGAGAGTGCAAAGGAGGATTCAGACAGGTCCAACAGGATGATGACAGAGGAGAGGGATGCTGCTTTAGCCGTGTGCAGTTCCTCAGTGACAGCAAGGAGGGCAGTTTCTGTGGAGTGACCTGCCTTGAAACCAGACTGGTGCGGATCCAGAAGGTTGTTCTGATGGAGATAACAGGAGAGTTGTTTAAAGACAGCGCGTTCAAGTGTTTTAGACAGGAACGGGAAGAGAGAGACAGGCCTGTAGTTTATAACATCAGACGGGTTGAGAGTGGGTTTCTTTAGGAGAGGGTTTACTCTTGCCTCCTTGAGACTGTTTGGAAAGTGACCAGAAGTTAGAGAAGTGTTGATGAAATGGGTGAGAAACGGTAGAATATCAGGAGCGATAGTCTGAAGGAGGTTTGAAGGGATAGGGTCCAGAGGACAGGTGGTAGGGCGGGCAGAGGTAATGAGGGTAAGAACCTCACTTGGAGAGAGAGGGGAAAAGGAGGTCAGTGTGTGGGTGGAAGGAGGGTCTGGTGACCCAGTAGTGAGTAAAGGTGAGTCAGAAAAAGAAGAGCGAATATCATCAACCTTTTTTTCACAATATTATCAGAGATCCCAGCTCTGCCAAATATTCACCAGTTATTCAGAAGGTTGACAAAATAGTGGGTAATGCTTCATCTCCACAGAATAAGCTCCACAAATAGGTCGATGTAACCCCTCTATGATATGGGAGAGTTGCATTTATTATGATTCAAGTATTTGAGTGTTTTTTGCATTATTATAGGCAGAGCTGTACTGTATCTACCTTAAGACACTGAGGTTAGGTAATTGCTGTTATTTCCTGTACAAATCAATTTGTTATCAACCTGCAGGAAATGTACCTTCAATTCATAACACTCATTCACACTTGGATATTGTTTATGCTATTAATGCATACAGTATATCGATTTAGAATATTGCCATTTGACTACATCAAGACCAACACAAATAAGTAAAGAAAAAAAGGATTGTGTATTTCTTCACGTATTCCTTGAAGGCTTTGGGCATTTAGATCTTAATATTTATCTGTACTCTTTTCTATCTGACTATAATACAGGAGGTGTCCCTTCTGAGCACAAAGAGATGTACCTGCTCATAATGGAACACAAATGAACATAACAAATAATTCAGAGCTTTGAGAAGCTTCGACATTTTAGATAAAAAGGCATAAGAAAAGTAACTGTTTTTAGCTTCTGGATGCTATTTTTAACTATGTACTGTAAATGCACTGTGAACTAAAAATACTACATCATTGTACTTCTCTCTTAAAGCAAAACTCTTTTTCTAATGGTTTCCACTTTCCCTAACTCTGACTTTGCAATTTACTCGTACAATCCTACCACTTAATGTGATAAGATCAATCAGGTTCAATCTCATGCCCCTTTTACCTGTTTTAATAGTCACAAAATCCCCTTCATGTCAGGTATTATCCATATTTCATCCTCTCCTTGATCTCATTCTCTTCTCATTTTTCAGCTATCTCACGGACCTGGATCGGATTTCTCAACCCTCTTATCTGCCTGACCTGCAGGATATCCTCAGAGTCCGAGTGCCCACCACGGGTATCATTGAATACCCCTTTGACATGGAGAATGTCATCTTCAGGTGAGATATAACACTCCATAAAAACAGGTAACGGCTAAACATGATGCATTGGAACAATAAGCATTAAAGGCGTTGCGTACCTTATCTGTTGTTGTTATGGCAGGATGGTGGATGTGGGAGGTCAGAGGTCAGAGAGGAGGAAGTGGATCCACTGCTTTGAGAACGTCACCTCCATCATCTTCCTGGTGGCGCTCAGCGAGTACGACCAGGTCCTGGCTGAGTGCGACAACGAGGTGAGAATTCAGCTCAGTGATTGGCAGATCAAGTTCCAGACTTTAAACATTTTAAATGTGTGGTCCTTTTTCTTTCTTTCTATGCTGCAATGTTCATCTCAGAACCGTATGGAGGAGAGCAAGGCCCTGTTCAAAACCATCATAACTTACCCCTGGTTCCAGCGCTCCTCCGTCATACTTTTTCTCAACAAGACGGACATCCTCAAGGAGAAAATCTTGCACTCTCACATAGGCGACTACTTCCCGGAATTCACAGGTGAGTTTTTAGCCACTTTATTGGCACACGTAGCTGAAATTAATGCAGTCTAATACAAAAGTAGGCTATTATGCTGAGTATGATTACTATTATTTGTCCGATTATATCATGTATTCTCTCCATGTATATCAATGAGGGAAGGCTACACAACCCCTCTGTATGATGAAGCACAACAGCACCAAAAAGTACATCCTACAAAATTACATGTTGAATAAAAAAAAATGTTAAACAAAAACTGAACATTGTAACCTTCATAAAGATAGATCTGCATTTTTATTTTAGACTGGTAGTTTCAGCTGGGTGTACCTATTAAACCGACTGGTGTGAGGCGTACGAGGTAGAAAAGGTGCCATACAAAACGATGAAAATATTTATTAAACACTTAACCCTCCTGTTGTGTTCGTTCCCCCCCCCTTACTTTGGTGTTCGTGGTCATATTTGACCGGTCCTGTTTTAACTGCTAGTACATTAACGCAAAAACCATCATCACCAAATTTCATTTAACACCCTTTCAAACTGTAAATATTGTATCAGACTCATCAGACTACATGAAAAACTGCAGTAAATATACAAAGAATAGACAATGAACATGTATTGCGTGTGCCAGGTGTGATCCATGTGGGGGGGATGGGCACATAAGAGCGGAACATGTATCAAATTGTTCTGTGTGTGTGTTTGCCAGGTGTAATTCACATCAGTAGCGTGGCGTGGGGAAAAATGTAGGGGAAGCCCATTTTTTGGGTCGGGGGGGTGGTCAATAACGTAACCAGATGAATGATTACAGCACCCGGTATCATTTTACACACATTTGTATCACACAGATGCAGGACTTGCACACGCCTGTTATCTAACCGACAGGTCCGCACGCACTCTCCAGCTGAAACTCTCTTCTTATTAATTTAAGCATTTTACTTATTAATGTATTCAGACAATCACACAATCTATGTGATTTTTGGATTTACCGTGCCTCTCAATTGCCCGTGACAGGTTGGCAAGGTCGATGAATCCTGAAGTTGCCCAAGGATTGTTCAGGGAGCACGAATCCTTGTCAAAAAGAAGACATGGCCAGCCAAATAGATGCTGAAGTTTAGCGCTTCCAGTTAGCCACTCTGTGCGGACATAATTGTCCTCATTGAACGTCCGATTCTCTCCCTTTTTCCTCTGTGTACACACAGCTCGAGTGCGGGCATTGGCCTGTCATCTGATTTAATTTTCAGTTGCTGCTGTAGCGGAAGTTTAGTAAAGTTATGTTTGATTAAGTACGCCAAATCTCCACCCTCCATAATGCTTCATTTGCTTGATAATTTCTAACGGCGGTGATGACAGTTACAGTATTAAAACTGATGTTGATGTGATTTGATTGGATGGCAGTGTCCAATCAAATCGCCAGCCGCCAGCCGCCCCTGAAGGGAAGCTAGAGGCGGCTGGCTTCCCTTGGCATGGCCCTGACCAATCACAGGTTGGCAGGGGCATCACGTGGGCCTCATCTGATTGGTCAATCCCTCCATTTTTTTTCACCAAAGGAAGCCAGATTCGGCTGGCCTCCTCTCGCAACAGAGAGTGCAATCTACTGTTTCACCATAACATCTAGAGGGGCGCTGTTTCACTCTTTGTAAAGTACTCAATGAGAATGGGGGAGAGCCGGCCGGCAGCAACACACAGCAAAGGAGAATTATCGAAACAAAACAAAGTGTTTTTATTTATTTATTTAAATTATAACTACAATCCGAAAAAACAGGGGAAGCCTGGCTTCCCTTGGCCTCCGGGAGAAAACGCCACTGATTCACATGGGGGGTTGGGCACATAAGGGGGGAAACACATATAGTGTATGTGTGTGTGAGTGTTTGTGTGTGTGTTTTATCTGATCCGGATGGTTACTAATTCCTTTTCTTTATGGCGGTCATTTTTGACCGGGAACACTATGGGTGTTACAAAGTTGACTAAATCATCCAAAATGCAATGCAAGTGGTGATCAGCAATTGTATATGTTCAAATGTCTACTGTGAAGGATATAATAAAGCCCTAATGCAATCGAATGTAAAACAAAAAAGTTATGATTGATGAAAGTAGTAAATTGGTCAGATTTGACCCGAACACAACAGGAGGGTACACACCCTGTGCACAGAGAAAAATCTGAAGACCAGCATCCATTTAATGTTGTTCTCTTGTTTTGTTACATATTTTAGATTAGGTTTGTCTATTTATTTTTAAATCTAATAATAACAAATAATTGTCGACTTTTCTGAAAACATAATGAAATATTACCGACCTTGAATTACAGGACCTAAGCAGGATCAATCAGCAGCTCAAGATTTCATCCTGAAAATGTACCAAGAACAAAACCCGGACAAGGACAAGGCGCTGTACCCTCACTTCACCTGCGCCACGGACACAGAGAACATCCGCTTCGTCTTCGTCGCCGTCAAAGACACCATCCTCAGACACAACCTGAAGGAGTTCAATCTGGTGTAGAGCGGCAGGACGACACATGATACAAGAGAATTACATTAAAACAAAACTTCAGTCAATTGTCTTGGCTTTCTTAACAGTTAGATACACTGATCGATGTATGGTTCTTTAATCCAAAGGTTTAAAAATAATCTTTTGTGCCTGTTCAAATCCAGCCTAAGAGAATATGAACATTTAACAGACAGACCTAAACTAATGTCTCGGTAGCTTATTGTCTGAAATGCATTGTTTGTTTTCTTGTGTACTGTAGTTTCAATTGGAGCCTTTATAGAAATGTGTTGTACTAAGTTTATATATGAAAATGAGTGAATCATATCTTTGACCTATTGTGTGGGCTACTTATTTTATTAGTTTTTATATATTTTCAGAAAAGGCATCCAAGTAAATCATTTATGCTCACGCAATCGCTGAGAGTCCCTTTAGTCCTAAAGTCTTTGATTTAATATGATGTGGAATTTTTTTTTTTCTATCACTGAGCCACATGTGTCGGCTGTTGCTCAAAAGTGCCTTATTTACTCAGGACAGTCACACAAACAATGAGTTTGTTTAGATGTAAATAATCCAAGTTGTGCTTAGGAGGACTCTACTCACATGTTACTTTTCAAGATAAATGGATATATTTATGGACATTTTCAATAAACAATTAAAGATATTAATAAAGAGTGCAAGTGGAAATTTCCTTGGTACAAGAGATACATTTGAAACACATATTTTATTTTTTTGGAACATATGGGGGAAAAATGGAACCACTGCAGTGAACACTTGATGCTCAAAATAACACACATTAATGGCAAAAGAAATATTAAGTCTGTTAATATTTAGTCGAACTAAATTGCGATACAACCCAAAGCAATCCTTTAAAATATACACCAGAGTAAACATCAGCTGTTAATAATTAGCATTCATTTCTTTTAAATATACTTTTCTCTGCATAATTCATCAACATAGTTGGCATTGCATATGTGTGGTATAAAAACATAAAAATCACAAAAGTACAATCTGTAACGCCATAATACAGACTAGTGTGTGAGGATGAGTATATACAGATACTATGCGATTAATATACAGCAGATTGATACACAAGAATATAAAAATAGCATGCGGCTCTCAATCATACACTGAGCAGTCTTCATCTTGTATAAAAAACTAGGAAAATTGAGAGTGTTAGAGTAAAATAAAACAGTAGTTTGAGCACAATTTGAATTATATGTGTTCCAGAGCCAATCTCAAATTTATATTAGTTTCCCTTGTATATATAATCCAGTAAAAAAACAAAACAGCATACAACATTAAATGTGCTACAACTGTGGTTCATTTGGCTTCAATGTCATTTAGGCTGTTTCCTACCATGTACAAGACATCTTTAATATGTTTAATACAACTGAGAGCTAAGGAAATGACTGACTGAATGTGTTTGATTGAGAATGGCAAACTATGAAAATCTTCCAAATTTCAACAGCTATTCAGGCCCAAGCAGATAAGCTGTATTTTGAAATGTGAGTCAGTTTTAATAAAATAAATCATTAAATATCAGCTGAGCAAAATGAGTGTAATCAGAGCGAAGACAGTGGAGTGAGTTCAGAGCTTCTGTGGTAAATAAATGTACGTCAGCCGTCTATATAGCACTTTTGTAAGCATGCACACATACACACTATCACTCGTCCCGACACACACCAACATACAGCCTTGTGTAATTGGACTCAAACAGGGAGGTAAACAACATGAGCATGCGGTGAAGAACAAAGGCACTGACACACACAGACTTTGTGTGTTCTTTTTTCTTTATCATTTCTCGCTCTTCTTCGTTAGTCAGTATTTATGCAAACTCTCTCTTGCATCGTCCAATCTGGCCAGAACCCACTGAAAATCAAGAAACCAAAGTTGGGAATACATTTTGTACAATCCTTTACTGTGACTTCAGGCTGATTATATATATATATATATATATATATATATATATATATATATATATATATATATATATATATATATATATATATATATATATATATATATATATATATATATATATATATATATATATATATATATATATATATATATATCTATATAAATACACTGAACAAAAATATAAATGCAACACTTTTGTTTTTGGTCCCATTTTTCATGAGATGAACTCAAAGATCTAAAACATTTTCTATCTACACAAAATAACCATTTCTCTCAAATATTGTTCACAAATCTGAAAAAATCTGTGATAGTGAGCACTTCTCCTTTGGCGAGATAATCCATCCCACCTCACAGGTGTGGCATATCAAGATGCTGATTAGACAGCATGATTATTGCACAGGTGTGCCTTAGGCTGGCCACAATAAAAGGCCACTCTGAAACGTGCAGTTTTGCTTTATTGGGGGGGTCCGGGGGGGTCCGAAAACCAGTCAGTATCTGGTGTGACCACCATTTGCCTCACGCAGTACAACACATCTCCTTCGCATAGAGTTGATCAGGTTGTTGATTGTGGCCTGTGGAATGTTGGTCCACTCCTCTTCAATGGCTGTGCCAAGTTGCTGGATATTGGCAGGAACTGGAACACGCTGTCGTATACGCCGATCCAGAGCATCCCAAACATGCTCAATGGGTGACATGTTGGATGTACTGCCAAATTCTCTGAAACGCCTTTGGAGACGGCTTATGGTAGAGAAATGAACATTCAATTCACGGGCAACAGCTCTGGTGGACATTTCTGCTGTCAGCATGCCAATTGCACGCTCCCTCAAAACTTGCGACATCTGTGGCATTGTGCTGTGTGATAAAACTGAACATTTTAGAGTGGCCTTTTATTGTGGCCAGCCTAAGGCACACCTGTGCAATAATCATGCTGTCTAATCAGCATGTTGATATGCCACACCTGTGAGGTGGGATGGATTATCTCGGCAAAGGAGAAGTGCTCACTATCACAGATTTTTTCAGATTTGTGAACAATATTTGAGAGAAATGGTTATTTTGTGTATAGAAAATGTTTTAGATCTTTGAGTTTATCTCATGAAAAATGGGAGCAAAAACAAAAGTGTTGCGTTTATATTTTTGTTCAGTGTATATATATATGTATATATATATATGAGCATTATAGTATGAGTTGTCAACTTACAGTAGCGATCTCAGGAGTTTTGAAGTTTATGATCTTCCCAAACTCCTTAGCGTGGAAGACAGACTTCACTCTCTCCTGAAGTGCACAAGACAACACATTTAGTGCTATAATAATTGTTTAAAACTAGCTATGAATCAGTATAAACAAAGGTTTCCTATGGAGGAGCATCAAGCTTCTGATTTGTATTTCAATATCGTGTTTGCTTTTGTACCTTGGCCTCAATGCGAAGTCGGCGGTCCTCAACAATCATCGGATCCTTGGTGAACTCTTCAAACAGATACTGCCACTCACAGGTCAGCTGGCCAAACGTGCCTTTGGTCACAAAAAATATTCCCCTGGAAAAGAAAGCACATAAAAAGGATTGGACAAAGCAACGTATATCACACATCAGGTTTACACTGTATCAAAACATGCTGTGACGATGATCTGGGATTTAATGATTTCACATATTCACAGGTGTTTGTGAAAACGAGAGGAAAATAAAACGTTATCTTAGAACAACCTGATATGAGAAAGCAGCCGGAAATTCTTCTTCTCACCAGGATGCAGAAACACACTCACCTCTTGGTGATCATGAAGAAGTCTGAATCATTGACCTTGGCATGAGCAAAGTATCTGTACTTGGCAAAACGTCCATTCTCAATTTTCTGGAGAAAAAGAGAAAAAAGTGAGAATGTATATTAGCAAACAGCAAGACCAACTGAATCTGAATTATACTGAAACATAGATCCCACTCCACTGTGCTCAGTGAAAATGTATAAAAGTGTGTTCCAAACAACTGCATACTGTAAATAAGCATGAGCTACTCTGGTCCTCAGCTGAATGAATGAAAATGTTGAGGGGTGACGAGGAAAAATGGGATGAAACAAAGACAAAGAAAATGGCAGGTAGAAGTTGTAATGTGAACATTTTATTGAGAACAAGAGGGCAATGAAAGACAGAATGATAAAACAAACATAAAGAAATAAGGACAAAGACAAATTAAAATAAAATGATAATGAAAAGTGTTGGACAATGACTACATCTCTGAACATAAGAGGGTTTGTTTTGTAGCTTGTGAGAAAATGATGAATGAAAAGAATGGGTTTTAAATGATAAAGGATAGACACTCAAATATGAAGAAATCTCACATCAATTTAATAAACAACTAAATACATAAAACACATATTCTTGAATTACTGAGAGGCTCTTCATTGGTTAATTAACTTGAATCAAACTTGTACTACACTAATGCTACACTACAGCTATCTTCTAGCTAGTCTTCCTCTTCCTCATCACCAGCTCTATACCATTCCCAGTAGGCCAGACTCCGCTGTGGACACGACGAGAGAGAAGAGTGAAGGTCAGAGAACAACAGTTTCTACTCACAGCTACACACAGACAGCTGTCACAGCAGATTAAAGACAGAACATCACTCAGACATTTGTCTCTCTTCTATCAAATAGTTATTCTGTTGTAAATATCATCTATTTTATTATTTAGTCTAAATACCAGATGTTTGCTTCTTTCCAACTGCTTTGCTGTAAAGACTTTCCCACCCAAAATATATAAGTATAAAACTCAGGCAAAAACTATTTTGAGCCTATCTACAACAGAAGCATAAGCATGACACCTGTTTCTAGCACATAAACACACTAACTAACAAGCTTAACAAACCTAGGCTAGGTCTAAAGATGGCGATACAGATGGGCGACAAATTAAAGGGAAAAACCTGTATGAATGATTGAGGTCACTGATGTGAATCAAACACTATGTCTCTCATAGACCTCTACCAAACTGAAGTCTTGGACTCTCCACTACCATCATCCAACATACCAACATACATGTTGTGGAGGCTAGCTGTGACCCTAAACTTCACCAAGGCTCTTTAATTTGTCACCTTTCTGTAAAGCTATAAGGCAAACAGTGTAGCTCTGACCTGAAACTCATATTCACAAACTTCCATCCAGCTCGACCACTACGTGATGTCAGCACAAAAGAAGTAAGCCACAATTTAAATATAGCTTAATGGAGCAGAACTGAAACACCTCAAAGCTTCACTAAAATGTCCAAACATGAGAACCATTGTACGGAAACAGCAGCTCCCAACCACATTCAGCTGTTCAGTGCTGTCAACAATATGGTTAGCCAGATGGCTGCTTCAGGTACTTTGTTTAAACCTTGAGGACAGCAAGGGCATCCAAATGAAGCATCATTTGCCAAACAAAATAGGTCTAATGTCAAAACACTAACAACAACAATAATAATAATATGGAGAAGGAACAGGTAGATACACTGCACAGAGGCTTTGCTGCAGTAAAATACAAAACATATTTCAGTAAATCTCAGTAAATGTTGGCCTTGGAACTGAAATAGTTGTGAAATGTCTCTATTGTTGCTCATGCTTATTTACTTTGGTTGAAAATGTGTAATTTGACCTTCTTAAAAAACACATAACAGAGGCACAAAGGTGAATGAATCAATGATAACTGAGCTATATTAGGATATATGAGCTACATTAAGTTTAAAGATCTTACACAAAAAGGGTCATGGTTAAAAAAATCAATCAATCAATCTCTGTGCCTTCATTAACGCTCACACCCACAACTCCACTAGCAGACCTAGGCATTTTCTGTGTGGGTGTGCAACACATTTATGATGTAGTTCCCTGTCATTGATTACATTTACAAAATTCCGTTGTATTAAAATGATTGTCACAGAGCTTTTCCTAATCTTAATGAAATACAAATATTAGCTCCATGTTATTTGCCCAGGTCTGACTGAGGACAGGATGAGGTTGTGTCCTACCTGCAGCATCTGGCTGCCGAGCCCCTCCCTCTCCTTATATGGGCGTATGACTCCATCCTCGTGAATGAAACGCGGCGGTCGCAAAGAGGCGATATCTTGTGAAGTCTCTGCTGCCCTGAAAAAGAAAAACAACTGCCTTATGAACTCTTATAAATCCTGGATATATATATATATATATATATATATATATATATATATATATATACTACATAACTGCAAACACACACAATGGCTATGGCAAACATTTAGATGTGCACACACACCTAAAGAGCTCCTGTCATGGCCCAATGAGCAGCTGTAATGAAGCTGTTTTTGTTTGTACAACTACTGAGCATGGTTTATTTCTGGAAACAAGCATGGCTCAAATAATGATCTTCTTACATGTTTTGGTGTTAAACTCTTTTGTGAGTTTAGCACAGATCCACATGTCCAATGTACGTGCAAATATGCAAACATACACTGGTGTTGTAAAAACATGAACACTGTAGCACATTTGAATACATACACACAGTAATGAACTAGGGCTGCACTATACCAGGAACAATTGCGATAACTTTGTTGATTATTGCTACAATGATCTAAAATGCGATAAAAACATGTACAAATTATAAAATGTACTCAGTTGTGCCTATCTGCAGCTTTCAGTCAACTGCTTGAAAACAAAATAATGCGTGTTGAATAAAACAATTAAAAGGAAATACATTTTAACATTACCTTATTGAACATTGAACTGAACACAAATGTTAGGCATACTTTTTTTTCTTAAACATACCCAAAATACGCAGTGGAATAAGACAATTTATCTTCTTATCGTGCAAGTTGACATGTTGATGACCTTAAAAAAACATGTTCAACATACCTCTTGATCCCTTGGAAAGTACTGCTGGCCATGTCAATAATGCCTCCGGTAGGTCTGGCTATAGCACCAACCAGACCTTTCCCAACACCCTTGAAAAAGCCGGCTGCACCCTCCTTCTGTGCTCCTGAAAAATAACGCATCATCAGATATCATCAAGTTCATGGAAACTGATATAAAGATCTCCTGACATAAACACAGCTCGTACACTGTTCCAGTAAAAGTACAGAATCCACAACAACAATATTTAGATATTATGTCATTTCAGCAAATACGTCGTCATATCAGCAGGCGCCGAATGATCTCGGTTCAACTCAACATACCTTTGATAGGTTTGGTGACAATGCCTGTGATGCCACTGACAAAACCCTGAAGGGGGAAACAAAACACAATTACCAAGTAGCAGCAGATCATTCATTACTTTACATTTTCTCACGTCAAAAAGGTATATTTCTGGTTCATTAACACAAGTTTGAGAACGTACAGACACTAATCCCTTTCCTCCCCTGGCCAGCCCCTCTCTCAGGCCACTGGGTTGTTTGTTCATAGCTTCTCGTCTTTTCTGCTGGTACTCCTCGTCCATCGTTATGGCAGCGACACCCTTCGCCATGGCTCCAGTGATCCTGGAGGCTGCACCTGCTATTCCACCTGGAAGGCACATAATAGTGTTTATAGTTATTATTTCTTTCATACGTCTATTTTTTCTTGAACATCTCTTGTGGGAGATATCGTTACTATTTTCTTCTTTCACTGTCCCTTCATCTTCTGTTCATATGGCAAGGGAATTTAATTTAAATAGCACATTTCTTTAACAGATCAACGTTCAAGAGTGCTGCAGGAATGAGACGTGAAACCTGGCTAACCCATCCCAAAGTAGCACAAACACATACAATAATTAATCTTAAGCCTGAGCAAAAAAGACACATGTTAAGCTAACTTTTGAATGTAAACAGTAGTGAGAGATCATACATCTCATATTCGTTCGAATAACAAAAGTACCGGTACAAAATGTGTAATTTGCCTACACAAAAAACATTGAATAATTCCTGACAAAAGGAGGAATAACGTGTTTAAATATCCCTTTATTTACCGCAGATATCCATTTCAGAGTTCTGCTAAAGCGATCAAAATACTTTTTTTATAAGCGCGCCGTACTTACCTACAGCTCCTCCCACCAGAGCCTTCACCCCCAGAGCCATTCCTTCAACAAACTCCTCGGGCCCCTGGATGGCTCCCTGAAGAACCCCAGATAACAGTTATACATGAAGAAGACTTAAAGACAATATCTCTGCTGCTTACAATCTCCAGTCATATATTCAAAGTTAGAGTATTGTGTATATGTTCCCCTTAAATAATAAGAATTCAAAGTAAGCTTTTGGTTTTGAATGCCTCAACATTGATAGCCTATTTTAGCATTACATTCCTACCTGATACGGCTCATAGAAGAAGGCTTCCACGCCCTCCGACAGTCCTCTGATCAGCCCGAAAGGATTTCCAAGTACATCCAGGCCCAGCACCAGCACATACATCTGTTTAATAGCCTGAAATAAGCAAAGATAAAAACTGGTAAGCTCAATGGTAGCCAGGATCTGGTCTTTATTCATGTTATTCAATAAAACCTTGAGGAACTTAAAAATAAATTCAATCTGAAAACATTTTATAATCTTGGCTTTTGTCCTTGTCCTTGTGTGAATGTGTGTTACCTGCTTGGAATAATGCCTGATGACCTCCCATTGTAGCTGCTGGGTGGTACAAAACCGGAAGGTCAACTCAAAGAAGGCCAGCCTGAAATCAAATATTAAGGACTCCTTCAGCAACAAATCACACAAAAACAAAACACTGCTCCTGCGTGTCATTTATGTGTATTGTTATTTGGGCCTTCAAATGATTCTTACTTGAAGACGACGTCCTGCACATCTGTGAGCGTGGCACCGATACTCTTCAGCAGCAGGTTCAGGGACTGGACAGGGATGAGTTCCTTGTCTCTCTTCTCCTTCATGCCGTCTTCCCCTCCCGTACTCAGAGAGAAACTCAAGTGCAGCTGCAACAAAAAGAACAAAACATGACTAAGCGTGGCTGTTTATGGTTAAGTCACAACAGAAACACGTTATGTAGCTGGGTCTTTGTTGCAGTCTTGTAGATTTTGATGCAGTTGTATTCATGTTTGATAAGGATTTATTTCATTTGACTTTTCCATCACTTGTGGTGGAACAGTGGTGTTTTTGCATTTCCTAACTATACTGTAGTATACAATTTACAAACCTTGATGGGGGAGATGTGGAAGTACTCGTAGAGGCTGATGGGAGAGGTGTCAGCAGCAGAGACATGGTTCAGTTCTGTCTTTATGTACTCTATGTCCTTCTCGAACAGTTCCACCTAGTGGAATAAAACAAGCATTATATTATACTGGCATAGACAACAAAAGTCAGAATGTATGACTCTTTAACTTGTGTGTCCCAGATTCTAGACAAAAGACTCTTTATATGAGAGTATCTGACCTCCTGTTGTGAGCTCATGATGCTGGCGTTCTCAGGAGTGAACAGGTCCAGGATGGCGTACAGGAAGCCCAGATCGAGCTTCAGGTCCATCTCTTGGATCAACACCTTGAAGTACCTGAGGTGGACAAACATTTCCATCACAGCTTTGAAGTTGAATGAAAGAAAACAGTTATTCCAGGAAAAGATTGAAAAGAAAATAGTTTTCAGATCAATGAAATGTTAGAGAGTAAGGAGTAAGACTGAGCACAGAAATGGTATAAAGGACAGTGGAAAGACACTTGAGGAGCTGGGAGAAGTCAGAAAATCATTCAAAGTAAAAATTACTTGATGCGTGAGATATCAGAGTGCCCTGCTGTTCTGGTAACAATGCTGATGTCAGTTAGAGGTTTGGGTTCTGTAATAAAAATACAAATAAAATAATGTTACAAATTGAAACACTGCATACAAACAGCACATAATGCTAAACATGACGTACAAGAGGAATAGCAGACCTGCATCCATGGTGATAGACTTTGGCAGTTTCACAGGGTAAAACACATACGGGAAGATGGCTCCGGGCAGCTGGTTCTGGATCTGCAGGAGGAAAGGATGCATACTTAAAGCTGATAAATAATAATCAAAATATATTGATGAACAAATGCTGAGGAAGGCATTTGGATGACTTGTCCGCCTGTAATTAGGACATATACATATATACTTGATATTAAGAGTATATTTTGATTATATGTGGCTGTACCTGAATGCGGTGGATCTGGACACGGTAGGCTCTTTGTCGTGGAGAGACGCTGTACTCCACCTTCACTGCAGGCAGGAAGTGCCTCCTGAGAGGAGCATCACACGGCTGGAACATCTGCATATTCTGGCCATTGGGAGTAAAGGACACCTGGAGGAGATTTACATTTGTGTTAAATTATTGAACAAGAATGCCAGCGACAAAGCATTATTTTCAATAATCAACCACCTGCAGCTACAACTTTTTAAATGACATGTTATGAGTATATATACTCTACCTAAGTCACATGAAATGGACAACTTTAGTCACTTTATCATTCCCTGGACCCGGGTTCAAATAAGAGAAGCTTAATAAACAGTATTTAGTATCCAACCTGGAAGTTGTTATCCAGGTCAGCGATGGCGTGGTCTACGGGGCCAGACTCCATGTACTCTTTGAATCTGCTCTCCAGCATCTCAGCTTCTTTAGCGCTCATAGACTTCCACCGATTCTTCTTCTTAGGCTTTAACTCCCACACCACATCAGAGCTGAGGCAACAAAGAAGAAAGCAGAGTGTAAGGTCATTAGGAAATGCAAAGCAAGTTGGTTTTAAATAGCACATTTAAGCCACAAGGCGATTCAAAGTGCTTTGAAACAACCATCAAAACTAAATGGAAAGGAAACACAGCACAAAAGGGCATTCAAATACAACTTCACACAGGCATTAAAAAGCCAAAACTCAGACATGTGCATGTGTATGTTGCTGTACCTTGTGATCCCAATGAAGGAGATCTCCTGGCCGCTGCTGTTGTTGACCAGAGACACGCCCACGTTCTGCAGCGACAGGATGATCTCCTGTTCGGCCAGCTGAGCCTTTTCGCTCTCACAGAGCAGCTTGTAGATGCGTAGCTCCTCAGTGAAGAGCACAACTCGCTGGAGACCTTTGGATCAACAATAAACACTTATCACAACACAAGATAAAGCAAACCAAGACAGAAATGTTGGTAGCTGTGTCTACATGCTCTTATTATCTTTAAAATAAACCGTTAAAACAATGCATTGAAATATGCTTTGTTACTTTGTACTGATGTACCAATTACATGCTTAACGATTAAGCTATTTAATCAAAAAGCTTTACAAACTGTCAAACAACTTCTTGTAAGCTGGGTATGATAACTTTTAATATTCTTATCTATTTATTTTAGCCTTTTGAAGTTTGCTTTTGAAGTGTTGTGATAATCAGAAATACCAGGAGAGGGCAGTGTAATCAAAATGAACTAGAGTTGTAGAGATGAGCTGTCCAGAAATGCAGCTTTTCTGGCAGAATCCATTTAAGGGATCTGTGTTTTAAAACTATTTGTACTTTACCTTCATAGAAGGACACCACAAATAGTTTTCCCCTCATTGTTCATGTCCACCAGCAGGTCCTAAAGATGGAAGAGCAGACAAACACGCGTTTGTTTAAAAGTAACATCATTTTGTTAAGCACAACAAAGACTGTGCCCCAGTTTTATTATGACATTGGAAATTGTATTTATAAAATGTATTATCAACTAACAACTCTTTGTTTTACACGTCTCAGTATTATCACCCAACATACACATTTTGACATTTAGTCAATTTAGCAATGGCATGCACCGACAGTATTATGCTGGTATCACCGACAACTATGTGGAACTACGATATGAGTAGAATTTAAAAAAGGGATACTTAAGATGTTAATTAAAATGGCAAAGATAACCTACAACATTGGCAATACACCTCAGTAAACTATACAACCAAAATAAGGATAGAGCTATTTAACTAGATATTAGGACTGTATTTCGAAGTAGTACATGCTTTAATCAACATCACAGGATCCTTTCGTTTGTTTTCTAAAATTTTCTATATAAATACTTGAGCTTATAAAAGTAATGAGTGTGAGCACTACAAGGTCTATGTCTAAGGTAACACATTTTGCTTTAATGCTGAAACAAAACAGCTAACCGCTGCGATGGCTGTGAGAAACACCTTTACTTATGATAAGATAAAGGCTAAATGAAGATGTCTGTTATAAATAAAAGGTATACATACTGTATTATTCCTCAACCACAAACAGTCTTATGTCTCATGCACAGTACCTCCTCACTCTTCAGCTTCCCACTGTAAGTACCGCACTTCCAGCAGAGCTCTCGGGACCCGGTGGGTTCGGTCCAGGTGTAATGCACCGCTCTCCCAGCCTCCAGCCCCTCGTGCTCTGCCTCCTTCTGAGAGCTGCACACACCCAGACACACACACATACCGTATACGTCAATAACATTACTGATAACAACTACAATTAGGAAATAATATTCCACTCATTTGAGAAGATAGAAATGAAGATATGTAAACCAGACCACAGTAAACCAGAGGACAATATAACAGAGCCCAGCCACCAAGAATATACCGACATTACAAAGTACCTCCCCGACAGAATACACAAACTACTCCCATCAACGGACAGAAACATGACAGCATGACTGGAAAGACGGCCAAACACCGAAAGAGCCCCCAATACCTCGGCTGGAGAGATAGAGTTTATATATGCATGATCACTCTGATCTCGATTCGGACGAGACAAAGCAGACATTAGACAATGGAAAAAGCCAAAGAGTCAGCAACAGAACTACTGGAAGAAGCAGGAGGTGTGATTCCACCGGCGGAATCCCATCCAGACGGCAGCATTCAAAACTAGTATTTCTACGAGTAGGGATGATTTAACGCTTAGATCAAAGAAACATAGTAATACATGAGAATGGGTTTTGATGTCTAACCTGCTCCATTAACTCTGGCCCAATGGTCTATCAGTGTGCATTTCTAGCGTCAATAGAAAGGTGTGTATTTAAGCGACGCTGAGTGTTTTTAAATGCCATTTTATAATAGGTTTCTGATACACTATTTCGTAATGCTCTTAATGTCTTTCATTTTTGTAAAGCACTTTGAATTGCCTTGTGCTGAAAGGGGCTATATAAATAAACTTGCCTTGCCTTGCTTCTTAAATAAATAATGTTGGAAACATTGTGAAAAAATGAATTCCAGTTTTCGAACAAAGTTGAATCCCTGTGTAAATAGTTGTGTTATAAAAATATTTAGATTACATTCTAGTCTAATGATGACAGCAACATTATTTCTGATGGTGATAACATGTTGGACAAGGCCTGGATGATATGTATCTGTCATTGGTAAAGGTGAGGAGCAGATTACACAGACAAACCAGAACCAAAGCTGTATTCTTCGTCCACATATCTTTACCTGCACTCTTGATCTGAACACACTTTGCACTCCACTGTTGAACTCAAATTAAAATGACTAGCACTTTTGTAATGTTATACCAAATCATATTGAGGGGCTGCATCAACTGTGTGTCTTTGTTTGTGCCCTCTTTCCTGCCCCATTAATTGTTTATGGATCTTTGGAGTTGTGTTTTCATTTCATATGTAGTTTTACCACATAGTGAGAGCCTCCTTCCTTCCCCATTTGCTCAGAGAGCTCTTATACTAGCTATCTGAGGCTGTTCTTTTCCCCCTATTTTTAATCATGTGTATTTTTCTGAGTTCAAAGTGTGTCAGAAGAGTTTTTCCTTTTCCATATTGTTCTACCTGTCCTCCTCCTCTGAGAAGGAGAGGTCGAGTAGCTTGTCAGCCACCCAATGGGAATCTGTCCGAGCGCTGCGTGACCCCCAACACAAAAACACAAATGGCTATCAGCAACACGCTGTTAGTTATCATAGACTTAGCTGTTTAAAACTGCTGCAACAAGAGAAAAGAGCATCATTAAACACATGTGCAAAGTACATAACAATGAAATGTAGATGTTGAACATGAATAAATCCCACTTTGTTCAAACTTTGACCTGCTGATCACAAAGTGAGTTATATGAAAACACAAAGGCTGAATCATTGTCACGGCAAACATCCTACTTTGGGTTTTGAGAGATTTTCAGTTTACACTTCATTGTGCACTTCACACTTAGGGTGAGTGTGATGCATCCACAAGATGATTCAAGTTGGAGCACTATGAAAGCACATTTATAGACAACACTTATACCAACAAAGTACTGAAATATTATAAGATAAAGCAGTAGGAAAAGTCTTACAATAAATGTTCTACATCCAAACAGTCCTAACCTACTGTACATTTTGCATTTCTGTGGTAGTTTAAGAGCCCAGCGATCCCATGATGAACCGTGGTCACAAGCTTCATCCATCCTGATTATAATATCTAACTTCTCAACCTTTTTGCAAATATATCCCACACTTACTGCTGAAACAAAACTGCACGGTATAAAATGTTACGTTTATTTCCCTGCCTTTTCTCCTATTGTCTCACCTCTGATAAAACTGCAGTGTCTGGTCCTTTGTGTTGTTGATGATGAGGAAAGGGGCTGCGCCATCGTGATACTCAGAGAAGCGGATCGTGGCCGAGTGCTCGGACAAGTTCACATTTACAGTGATCCCACCCACCTGCAGGAAAGAAAATCATAATTGACATACTAGAATAACTTACAAGGTATTTTCAAAATGCTCTTTAAGAAGAAAATAAGTTATGTGTGTGTGTGTGTGTGTGTGTGTGTGTTTACAGAGTTGTCCAGATGCAGAAGTAGGCAGTTTTCTGGTCGTGTGAAGTCAATCGTCCGAGGAGGCAACAAACAACCTTCCACTTTGATCTTCAGCCGCTTGGTGTCGTTCTCAGGCCAAAAGGGAATGGCTGACTAAATACGGAATAAAACAAAAATATTGAATAACATGTATAGTGTGGGCTTCACCTGAAATTGATACACAGTAATCATTCAGTTTAAAAAAAACCTAACCTTTAAATCTGTAATCATTGATGTAGTTTACTAATCTAGACCTTTGATATCAAACTAAAACGTGTTTAAGAGAGGCATTCATCTATAGACAGGAGAGTACAGTAGATAGAGGAAAGAGGTTGGTTTTCCACAGGCACAACAAAAGAATAATATACGAGTTACAAACATATAGTACAGTAACAACAAACTAATATAAAAACACATATAGGCTAAATATAAATAAAGGGAGGGTAAATAAATGTAAAAGAAAAGTAAATTGCAATAAGTAACAGCAGTTTTATGATCCCTGAGGATATTAACATGGGTTTAAATGTACTGGACATTAGTCAGTTAAGCTAAAGTGTTTCATTGTGTAAATAGCATTTAAGTAGCATTATTCACACGATAACAAAGCATGTGCAGGGAAACACAGACGCAAACAATGATGGGTTTGGCTTTGACCTGTAGGGGCTTAGCTTCGGTCCAGTTGTCCTGCCGTTCTTCACAAATGAACACGCTGTGCTTGGTTCTGTTGACCAGCATGTAAAATGGCACGAAGGTCACGATGCGGGTCAGACTGAAACTGCTTGCGTCAATCTTCACACCAACCTGAGGTCACACAGAGGTCACACAAATACACAGATGACACACTCATGTACATTTCCAATACGAGTTACAGACCAAAGTCATTTCAAATTCTAATATATCTGACTCTTACTGTATGTGGGAAATCTTACCAAGTAGTCTTTGTATCGGCCTTTGCATTTCACATCTCCATAGCTACCAACTGTATCCAGGGAGAAATCATCGGAGAGGTCACTGTCTGATATCATGAGACGGACCTGAGGGATGAACATAATGACCACATTATTAATATGTACCAATACTCACTCAACTAAAATTAAAGTGTATATGCAGTTTTTTTCAAACATGGACAACCTGCTCAAAATAAGCAGCAGACTTTTTCCCTGCGAGCATAGTTAAGTATGCCTTTTGATATTTGTTTCTGAGATATTACATTCATTACTATCATTTTCACCATTACAATGCATAATACAAATCATTGTAGTTATTGTTTTTCCCTACAAAAAGATCTCAAGATATCACATAAACTATAATGCTATAAAATGTTTAATATATGAACCCCTTTACCTTATTGTTTTTCAGGAAGTAGCGAGGCTTGAAGGAGAAGAGCAGGGGCATGTCGTAGTCCAGCGGGTGTTTCCGGTGGATGTCGTCGGCCTTGTACTGCAGCAACCTGCCTGTCTTGTTCACCATCCAATATGGAGAGTGGATAGCCACCACCGTTTGTCCCTGGTTATATTCAACATGCACTGCTATGTCCAAGTCAGGTCTCTTCCTCTCCGTATCCTCACCATCCTCTTCGTCATACTCTCGTAGAGACTGGAACACGATGAAGGTAATCTCCTCCTGGTCACTGTGGAGACTAAATGACAGGATAATGTGTTTAAAAGCACTTTGAACTGCCTTGTGTTTGAAAGGTGCTTTATAAATAAACTTGCCTTGCCTTGCCTGCCTAACCCGAGGGGAAATTATGCTGCAGAAATCTAGACGTTATTGACTTGTCTTTTATACTTTGTATGTTAATAGATAAGGTAACCTGTGTTGTGGACTTTAAATCATACTACTCTGGGAGCTACAGTATGGCCTTTCCATGAAAATAATCACATTTAAAAAATAACGATGGGAAAAAACTTCAACAATGAATGACATCAAAGTCCAACCTGTACTCAGAAGACCAGTCCTGATCCAAGTAGTTCAGTAGGCACAGATCGAGACTTGATTGGTTGATGACCGCAGTGTGAAGCTGGGCAGAGTGGCCCTGGTTCAGAGTGGCCTCAGGGGCAGAGACACCACTGTCCTGTTGAGCAGGTAGAAAACAACACTGAGTTCAACAGTGAATCTGAGGTAACAGACTTTAGTAAGATCATTGGCCAAAAAGCTCAGCATTCATTCTGTTTTGAGTCTGTAAACAAGACATGATGGTAGGTAGACAAATCTGAAGATAAATATGAACTATATATATATTTGAATCATGTGTAGCCTTTGCATTACATTTGCAAATGTTACTTTCAAAGTGTTGACACATTACTACCATTCATTTTTGAAAGCATTGCCTGTTTTCAGACTTTTAGGGTTTTCTAACTGCCATGCATCAATGCAATTGCAAGCAGTTTATAAGCAGGGCTGCACATAACTGGTGCGCAGGTGCGTATGCGCACCCCCCGCCAAAAAAGGAGCAACGGATCATTGGAAAAAAGGCGCATTTGCGCACCAACAGAGAGAGAGAAAAAAAAAAAGAGAGAGAGATATTTGCGAGTTGCATAAGAACTGGTAAGATAGCAGGGTTTCCCACACATAGACTTTACTGGGCGGGCCGCCCAGGTATATTAACGACCGCCAAAGTATAATTCTCGAGCCATTTAGGTTTAATTGTTTTAATCCGTCCGCGAGCACGACGGAATCTGCGATCCCTCGCTCTACCCCTCGCTATGGCGTGAAGGGTCTGCTTTATGCGCTCCGGCGACCAGTCATGAGCGTGCTCACTAGCGCACCTCCCCCCCCCCGTTCATAAAGTCAAGTACCCCTCAAAAGGTCCTGTTTATTTCATTTTTAAGGATGCGCACCAAGCAACATCTCCAGGTGCTCCTTTGAGAACCAGGGCAAAAAAGTTATGTGCACCCCTGTTTATAAGGACTTCCTTGTTGGTGCATTCATTGATGCTTAATGTATTGCTAAGTTTGAAATGGAATGCAGTTACTCAGTTGTCAAGCATATACTGTACAGAGTATATTGGACAATAATTGATGTGTGCAGCGTTCAGCTATATGATGAGGAAAATAGAAGTCAGGGCTCGATATCAGCAGATACTTAATATAAAATGACCCGGCCTTGGATCGGACATCCAACATTTGTATACTATACTTGCATTAATACCAATACATAAAATCTGTATAGTTTGTAAAATGTTGGACTGTGCTAAAACATACAAGCCATATAGTCCTTTTCCATCTCCAATGGCCCACTGGAGAGGTCACTACCAGAGACATCATACCTTCAGTTTGTAAGAGATGGGGTAAGGCAGCAGGTTGCGCAGCAGGATGGAAGGCCACAGATGAAGCACAAAGGGAACATCGAAGTTCTCCCCAACACCTCCAGTGTGTTTGAATGTCACAGCGTCTCTCGATGGGCACCATGTTGACCATCAGAACACCACCCTGATCTCCACGCCGACGGCAGGTCTGCTGCAGGCGTGTGTCGGGCTGATGAGCGTGGAAGTCTTCGTAGCTAAACCCTCTGAGCACTCGTACTGCTCCTCCTGATCATCAGTGTCCTCCTCTGTTATTGGCCGAAGGCTCAGCTCAGACCTGAGAGGCAGCAGAGAGCAGATGTGGGTGAGGGAGTGTGTACTACGATAGTGAGAGTGGGATAAAGAGAGACAGAGGGAAAGAGAAGTGTTTGCTCTCACCTATATGAGTCCAAAGGCACACAGAACTCTTCAGTAGGGAGAGCTTTACCCAGACATGTTGATCCCTCAAAAATGTTGAATGGGATTGAGAAATGATTGATGATCTGCGTAAAGAGGAGAGAAAGAATTAGGCTTTGGAGATGTATGTTCTTGTATTTCAATTTAAATCCTATGCTATTTTAATACATAAAGTTCAACCTCGGCTGAGACTGCTGCTTATAATCAGTTATTTTCAATGATGAAGTTAACAGGGAAGTTATTACAGATGAGATAAACATAATGAGTATAAAATTGAGGGGAATATGTATACGTTCATCAGTGTAGTACCTGGAATGGAGAGCGGATCTTGACGTACTTGCTGCCCTCCACAGTGTAAATCTGACAGACCAGGAAACGAGTGACTCCTGAGTCTGTGTGCATCACACTGTACATCCCCCGGCCCACTTTGATCAGGGGGATCACGCTGGCTGAGGTGTGACCCATCGGAGCTGGAGAGGGCAGAGGAAATAAGAGCAGTTCATCAGTGCTTACCTTTTAAAGTATTATTTTGACATTTTTTAATATTATGATTTTCAAATATAAAAACAGAAATTAAGTAGGTCATCATTTAAAAATGAAAAGACCCCTTACAAGATAAAGAATATACTGAAAGGTCACTCAAGTCCTCTTCTTGGTTTATAAATGAATTAGGCATACTTTTTACACCTCTCAGTCTTGGTTATAGAAAATGCGAAAAAAGAAAAAAGAAAGAGAAATGTTTTACAAATATTTTTGACAGGTCTTTAAAAAAGTCAAAGATTGTAAGAGTAGATTGAATAAATATAAAATATAAAATATAATCTATAATTACTATAAGTGACACTGGACCCTGACCCCAATCTGAGAAATACTGTTTAGTCTGTGTATACTTTAAAGAGTACTCCCCTGCTGATGTTCAGGTGTATATCAGTATGTAGTTTGTAGTGTCTCTACTTTAAAGAGTCCACTCCGCTGATGTTCAGGTGTATATCAGTATGTAATTTGTAGTGTCTCTACTTATAAGAGTTCCTCTCCTGCTGATGTTCAGGTGTATATCAGTATGTAGTGTCTCTATTTTAAAGAGTCTTCTCCTGCTGATGTTCAGGTGTATATCAGTATGTAGTGTCTCCTACTTTAAAGAGTCCTCTCCTGCTGATGTTCAGGTGTATATCAGTATGTAATTTGTAGTGTCTCTACTTTAAAGAGTCCTCTCCTGCTGATGTTCAGGTGTATATCAGTATGTAGTGTCTCTACTTTAAAGAGTCCTCTCCTGCTGATGTTCAGGTGTATATCAGTATGTAGTGTCTCTACTTTAAAGAGTCCTCTCCTGCTGATGTTCAGGTGTATATCAGTATGTAGTGTCTCTATTTAAAGAGTCCTCTCCTGCTGATGTTCAGGTGTATATCAGTATGTGTGTAGGTCTCTACTTAAAGAGTCCTCTCCTGCTGATGTTCAGGTGTATATCAGTATGTAGTTGTAGTGCTCTACTTTAAAGAGTCCTCTCCTGCTGATGTTCAGGTGTATATCAGTATGTAGTGTGTCTCTACTTTAAAGAGTCCTCTCCTGCTGATGTTCAGGTGTATATCAGTATGTAGTGTCTCTATTTTAAAGAGTCCTCTCCTGCTGATGTTCAGGTGTATATCAGTATGTAGTTTGTAGTGTCTCTACTTTAAAGAGTTCTCTCCTGCTGATGTTCAGGTGATATCAGTATGTGGTGGTCTCTACTTTAAAGAGTCCTCTCCTGCTGATGTTCAGGTGTATATCAGTAATGTAGTTTGTAGTGCTCTACTTTAAAGAGTTCTCTCCTGCTGTATGTTCAGGTGTATATCAGTATGTAGTGTCTCTACTTTAAAGAGTCCTCTCCTGCTGATGTTCAGGTGTATATCAGTATGTAGTTTGTAGTGTCTCTACTTTAAAGAGTTCTCTCCTGCTGATGTTCAGGTGTATATCAGTATGTAGTGTCTCTACTTTAAAGAGTTCTCTCCTGCTGATGTTCAGGTGTATATCAGTATGTAGTGTCTCTACTTTAAAGAGTCCTCTCCTGCTGATGTTCAGGTGTATATTACATTACATTACATTGCATTTAGCTGACGCTTTTATCCAAAGCGACTTACAATAAGTACATTCGACCAGGAAGACCACAACCCTTGAAGAAAACAGAATCATATAAGTACATCAGGTTTCATAGAGCCAAACATTTCAAGTGTCTACTCAACGTGCTTAGATAAGACAGCCTTTATTAGTATAAAAGTGCTTCGTTAATAGTTCTAACGCTCGAAATGGAGTTGAAAGAGATGAGTTTTCAGTTTGCGCCGGAAGATGTGCAAGCTATCTGCTGTCCTGATGTCAATGGGGAGCTCATTCCACCATCTTGGAGCCAGGACAGCAAACCCACGTGTTTTGCCGATGGGAACTTGGGGTCCCCCTCGCAGCGAGGGCGCAGCGAGTCGTTTGGCTGATGCAGAGCATAGTGCACGCGCTGGGGTGTACGGTTTTAACCATGTCCTGGATGTACGAAGGGCCAGATCCATTCGCAGCATGGTAAGCAAGTACCAGTGTCTTGAAGTGAATTCTATGTATATCAGTATGTAGTGTCTCTACTTTAAAGAGTCCTCTCCTGCTGATGTGCAGTTGTATATCAGTATGTAGAACTAAAGACTGTTGGCAATAATGTTTAACTGGTGACATCACAACAAATAATGATTGACTTTAAAATATTTTGTTACGCGGTATATGATTCCATAAACGGGTTAACTTACTGGGCTGTATGTAGTACTCTTTTCCACTCAAAGGAAATCATGGCTGAGAACTGGTCTGTGTCTGTTGTGGTGAAATAGTCCAACCCGAGTGTTTGCCCATCCTCCAGCTCAACTGTGTCGGTTGGTGGCCCTGCTGGCCGATGGGACAAAACATCTCACTGTGGCGGTACGGACACTGGCAGGCGAGGCGGTTCTTCACTATGAAGGGAGCCTCATCCTTCTGGAAGGAGTCAGCTGTCTGTTTGGCAGCCTCTGCAAATGCCTGGGGGGGGAAGAGAGAGAGGAGAGGAAAGAAGAGAGAGAGAGGAAGAGAAGAGAGAGAGAGAGGAGAGGATGAGAGAAGAGAGAGAGAGAGAGACTGAGAACACATTATAGAGGACCGCCTATCCTTTGACTTCCTGTTAAAATGTTAACATCCCTTCTCCTTACCATGCCCAAGTTACTCATACATGGCCAGCCCACATTGGAGAGGGTGATGTTGAGCTGGTCTTTACTGCTTGATGACAATGACTGTCTTATAGTCTGGGACATAAAAATCCACCTCATCTGAACCTATGTAGTTCACTGGCTTCTTCTTCATCTGGTTATAGGAAGATAAACATGTTAAACACTGTGCGCATGTTTGAATATTCACATATTGGGTATGTTTGTGTACAGTATATCAGTACCTTCAGTTCAAGAGTCCATGATCTAAAACCATCCTTCTCATCTTCTAAGGGCTCCAGCAGCGGTTTCCCATACTCCAGCACCTCATTGTAATAGTGAACCTATTAACCAAGGACAGAAAACAAACAGCATATTTTACAGTTATCTTTTAGAATTATGATAAGGTCTTGGGATAAGGTTAAAGAATATAGTGTCCGTGTGGTTTACCTCCAGGTTGAGCATGCTGTTGTAAGTTAATAAGTGTGGACCAGTTTGTGACGTCTCCATGGAAGGAGGACTTGATCAGGAGCATGGGGATCGTGCGGTGTCCCACTCCAGCCTCCAGAGTCAGACAGATCGATTTGATGGTCACCTGCAGGGATAGCCATGAAATGACATGACCTGTTATAATGCATCAAACTCTTATTCAGTGTACAGATTCAAAAACCACTGATCAAGAGTTTTTGGTATGACTGTGATCACAGATTAGAAACGATGTACTCTATTGATCCCAAATTGGGAAATGTTTGCGTTGCAGCAGCATAAAAAACAAGGCATTGCACATAAGTAGAAATGAAAAGAGTAGAAATAAACAATTGGTAATAAATAAAAACTGCAAAACAAATATCATAGCATACAACTATAAGGTATTATCATTTACGTCAATGCAGCCACACACCTGTAATGACTCTCCAGTTGGTATCAGTGGGGCCAGTGACTTTGTGTCTTCATCCCCCTCTTCTTCTAGGAACCACAGTTTAAGCTCCTTCCAGCCCCGTTTCTCCCACAGGTCCACAGGGACCGGACTGGTCAGCTCCTCGGGGGTCTCCGCTGTGGGAGTCAGCGCAGACTGGATGGTCATCACTGTGTTGATGATGATCGGAGATACCTGGGCAGAGATTCAGATAGCAGACACATAATGTTTTATACCAAGTACATAGTTCAAAGCTACGTTTCTAATCATACAAAATGTCAACTTTCTTTTTCTCATCTTTTCTTTGACTTGATGCCACCAATTGACATCTCTGTTGGCTGATGCCAAACGTATTGTGCCGAACCTGCATCAATTATAAGAAAATATGCCAATTTTTTAAAACTCTATGCTACTCCTTAAACAATTACTGTCTGGAGGATGGTTACTATAACTTGAAAGGGAAACTTGAATGATGTTATGATGTTGTAGCCAGACATACTGGTTGACTTTCTGCGTTTTCTGATAAAATGAATGCATACAAGGTCGTTAAAAAGGGAAACAAATTGATCTCCTGTTAAGGTAGGGATCTATTCACTTTTACTTCTGTCAGTTAATATGTAAGAAAAAGCAATTCATTTCCTAATAAGTAATTTATTATCGACAACGTCTAGACGGAAACGTACTGAAAAAACCTCTTTAAAAAGTATAATTTAAAACAACAGACCTTTCACAAATATAATTCTGAAAGGGGTAGCCTAACTAATAAAAGAATTACCTTTAATGTTAGAGCATTGATGGAGACCTCCATAGCCTGAGGGGAGGTTAGGGATTGAGAACTCTGGAAGAAAACCTGACACGGCTGCAGCACTGTCGTTACGTTGTTTTTCCTCTTCTCTCTCAAGAATGGACACGCCACCACCTACAGTAACAACCATAACATTTATATTGCATACGAGAGCACTTAAGACTTAACCTGCATTTTGCGGCTTACATAAACATGTTCATACAAACCTTGAGTTCCTTGATAACAGCAGTCATCTGTGATCCCTCTGCACTACTCTTCATCACTAGTTCGCACTGCGTGGTCATCACCAGAGCCGGAGCGTCGGCGCGCGTCAGGTCAGCCACAAACACAATCTCCGGGTTGCGCACCATAACATTTATCTCTGTCTTTGAAACCACAGCTGGAGCGACAGCTGACAGCGGCAGAGAGTATCATGGAGTACACATCAGTTCAAGTTGGGTAAAAGTATGTCAGATGATTTGAATTCTTATTTAAAAAAGGTTATTATTTCATCCACATGCTCACCACTTTGCTGCATCTGATACATTGCAGATAGCGTAATGATGCTGAATAAAAAACAACTTAAACTTAATTAAAACTGATATGGTAAACTCACTGGACTCTTTAGATGTTGTAGAGGAGTTTATATTCTTTCTCTCTCCCGGTCCAGTACTGGTCTTGGGTTGTGGCGCCTGAGCAAACCCTTGCTGGGTGGCATTGAGAAAGATGTCTGCCACGATGTGAAGGAACTCCATGCTGGCACACAGGTACACGTCCTGCACCAGCGTGTCCAGAGTGGTGCCTTCACGGCCCTGACGATAGTTCACCTCCACCATCATGTTCTGTTCTGCACCAGGACGCATTGCAATCATCCTAGAGAAAACAAAGTACGAGAGGAATAAACAAAGTTACATTTAATTTGACCTAAATTATATCTTTGGCATGGTATTCATGTGTTACAGGCTCAGACGTCTTATCATGTTTTTCTATATTCAGTATACAAGTTTTCTTCATAAGATCACACAAACCATCCCGGGGCCGACAACTATAAAATCTCATCAATCAAACGAGCATATTATATTATATTGTCTTCATTATTATTATTATAATATTGTGTAATACTTTATTACAATTATTACAATTATTGTGAAATGTTAACTAAATATTTCACAGGCATGATGAAATATACCATAATAATAATACATTTTATTTTTCAAGCGCTTTATCTGGTGCCTAAAGACACTTTACAGAGGTAAAGGAAATAAGATAAAAAGTCAAATGAAATTGAGCAATACAATTGCATTTTCTTCTCCATTTAGCAGAAGGACACAACATGAATCACTCATGAAAGGTCAGTCGGAAATGGTGAGTTGTTGTCAGTGTTTTGAAGGTGGGCAGGTCAGTGCAGTCTCTGAATTCCAGAGGAAGGGGGCTGCGATGGTAAAGGCTCTGTCTCAATGTAAAACATTTGTTATCTATACTGATATACTGTATGTGTGTGAGCGCGGTGTGTTTTTTGTGTGTGTGTTTTCCCAGTACCTCGGGGTGACCATTTTGATTCTGGTTCTCTTGTCATCTAGAAGGCAGGCAGACAGTCGTACTGAGGCCTTCATGGAGCTGTCGGAGAACATGTGGACGGAGGTGGAGATGGTGCCCAGAGTAAACTCTGCCACTTCAGCTGCTCATCATGTTGAATCTAGCGTAGTAACTAGATAGTGAACATAAACATTTGGTTAGAACAAGTTTGCTATGCAGGTTTTGTAAAATTAGGTCAAACAAGCCTCATTTCATACATCACTTGGTGTGTATACATGTGTGTGTGCATGCAAGTGTGTGTATGTGTATGCATTACCGTATCCCCATTAGGGCTATACAAGACAAGTGTCATTGAGTCGAACTTGAAGTCTAGTTTCAGTGTGCTCTTCAGCTTGCTATTTTTTCTGGGCTCCACAACAGCAGCCGTCACCACTGTGTTGCCTATAGAAATGACACAGCACAAATAACAAACATTCTTAAAAAGAGGTTGATTCGTTTTTAGATATTTTTTTCAAGGGCACATTATATTTTCAGTTTTAGTTTTATATATTTGTTTGGGTTTCTACTATAATATGTTTGGATTCTCTAATGTAAAAACAACCAACACATTATTTCTCTCATGCTTTCTGTCTGAATAAACACTCTAATTCTGTTTTAGCACCCGTCTCTTTAAGCCTCAGAGAAGTCCAGTCTGATTGGCCTGCAAGAAAAATAAGGTGAACCTTTTCAAAGGAAGGTGTCATTATGTAAGTGGAGATTATTTTTATTATAAAGAGCTTGTATCTGACAGAGGAAAGGAAGAGAAATATGTTTGTTTTTTTACCCAGGCTGCCCACATTTCTTTTTCAAAATGTATGTACACAAGCACTGAAGCTGTGAGATTTTCATTATATGTCCCCTTTAAAAAGTATAAAAAACATTTTAAATGTCATTAACTTTTCTAGGATTGTTTTGTGTAAGGCTCACCTTAACCCTTTAAACTCTGAGCTAAATGTTTAATTTAGAGGACTGACGTATGTAATTATCTGCCCATAGAGCATTTGTATCCAATGTTCAAATGTTTTAAATGACTAAATACATTGTGATGCTGAACTAAGACTGCTTACTGCTGGCTGGTCCGGTGGTTCCAGAGCCCATGGACTCTTTGTTGGATACGGTGTCGGAGGATCGATCAGTGGAGGGAGAAGGAAGAGCTGGAGGTGGAACAGCATCAGACTTCTCTGTCAGGTTCTCACTCAGAGTCTTCAGGACCACCGTCATGTCATCCTGGCTGAGGATCAGCTGGAGGGGACATACAGAGAATTGATTCATATTTCGATCTTCACCATTTTTCTAACTGGACAAACTTAAAGGGATTATCACTAACACAATTATAGTCATTATAGTCATTAGTCATTCATCAAACTTCAAACCAAAACAATGAAATAATATAAACAAGCAAAAAATCATATATTTCACGATATTGCAATCCACAATAACATAGTCTGAATTGATAACAAGCTAAAACTGACCATAGATTTTCAGAAAATTGCTTATAAAAGATGAGGAAATACTCAGTACTTTCACAAAAGGTACACAATAGGCCTTACCATGAGGTTATTTCATTTAGACAATTTATTCTGATATATCTTTATTAACATATAAAATTACTACATATTTGGAAAGAAAATTTTGGACATATCGCCCAACCCAAATGTAGTCGAAAGGAAAACTACATTTGCTATAAATCAGTAATTTCCCTCCCAAGTACTTACACTCATGGGTTTCAGATGAGCGGTGATCTCTATGTCCGGTATGCTGTGGTACCAGTTGGATGAAAGATTTCTTTGCACTTCCAAGTCCAAGCTGACTGGCATTAACAGCTGGGTCTCTCCCTGAAAACTTTCATCTTTATATGTGGTCCTGAAGACAGAAGACGGCAACAACACAAACAAAAGGAGAAAAGTTATGGAAAATATATGTGATTATTGCATTCAGTGACATCATCTACTGCTTTGCTAAACAGCTTATTTCGATAAGTTAACATAGAATCATATTTCTTAAAGATGGCCGTTCTCTGACCTGTACATCTTGAGGTCAGTCAGCCTCACGGTCATTATATCCACAACAGGCGGGATCGTGGCATCACTCTTAGAGGGCTGCTTGGCAAAGTGGTTCTTGACGGACAGCAGACCAAGGTCAGCTACAATGACATTGGAGGAAGAGGAGGACTGAGGCAGGAAGATGACGGGTGCGTTGAAGTGGACGTTCAGATTGATACGAGTGCTGCGCTCGGCCAGCTCCTTCACACCAGACGCTGCTTTCTCTGCAGCCTGGACTGTCACCTCAGTCAGCGCCTCTTTAGCCTCCTGGAAGTTATTGATAAATCCCTGGGAGGAAAAAAAGTATTACAAATGACAATATCTATCCATCCACAGTTTTAAATGAGTTAATAAGTGTTATATTGTATATGTAGCTTTATGGCACCATATTGAATTTAAATTCATGGCACTTTCAAAATGTACAGTTCAAATGTTATCATTACCTTATACAATAACTGTAGAGACCCACATGCTTTCGAAGTATATATAAATTTGCATGCAGGGCTGTATCAGCCTTTTCCCGCACAGATTAGAAAAGACCAACTGTTACAAGTGTAGGATTGTGACAGAGATATGCAATACTTACCAGTATGGAGGAGACAAACTTGTTGAGGAAGATGACCTGAATGCATCCCACAGTCAGCGTGACAGCAGTGTCAACATTAGACATGTCCAGATAGGCGTCTCCTTCTGTTGCGTCCGTATAGTTTACCATGCGGAAGGCAAACACTTCCTTATCTGCTATAGACACAGCCTGAGAAATTAATTAAAGGAAAGAAGAATTAAAGAGCTATAAACAAACACATCTAAATTATATATAAGGAGAGAATTTATAGGGACAGATATTAGGTCAAAAGTTTAATAGAGCACACAGATTAAAGGCAAAAAACTTAATAACACACTAATGTTTCGCCACCTGACCTTGGACCTAAAATCTGAAGTCTCTCTTTTGCTTTCAGGTGGGACCAACAATATTATGTCACTTGTTAGACACTTTTATCCGATAGATACATATAGTGAATTAAAATATTTAATTAAATACAGGCTACATAATGACGTTCAACTTCTTTGACATGTTCTTATGTTGCAACAAAACAAAACATTGGTTATTCTGAATTTGTTTAAAATACACATGGTGATTTATTGAGAGTGTAAAAGTATGTGTGTAAGTGAATGCACGACAGAGATAGCCTTATTGGATTCTCCTGAAAAAACACAGTCATAAGCACAGACTATTATCTATTATTGCCCTTCTATGAGAGCACGAGACAAACCTGCAATTCCTTATGAGGAGATTCAATCGCGTTTGAGCTCTTTCTCCATTACAAATCAGAATCACCTACTATTTCTTTACAGAGCCTCTCATGCATAGTGGTCAACATTTAGAAAATAAAGACTAGTATAAATATAGACCATATAGACATAGAATCAGATTTGTATTGGACAAAGAGACATAGGTCACGATAGATGAGCATAGAGTCCTTTAGGGCCACTTGCTGATTGTACCTTCTTGTAAAGAGCATCTTTGTCACAGTCTAGGATCACAATGTTTTTCAGGTTGGCCAGAACCTCCATCCCCTTCTTCCTCATCAGAACCTCAGAAACCAGACCTGGGTGGTTGAGAAAGTGAGTCAGTAAGAAAGTGTTCATTCCTCAGTTAATGGTATACTTCCATGAAATGCCAATTCAGAGATAATAACTAAAAAGGCAACTATAAAATAATCAATATCCACAAAAGTGTATTGGAGAAGGGCTGAATTTAATATCTTCAGGGTCAAGCAAGAGAGCTTCACAGCCATTTCATACCTTCAATACTAATCTCAGAAATCCTGGCTTTCTGTCCCCGAATGAAAACCTTCAGACAGCGGAGATCAGCTCTGATATGCAAGTTCACCACATCTGCAAACTTTGAAGGCTTTGTACCTTCAAGAGGAAGTGAGAAAGAAAAGGTGAGTCTTTGAATACTGAAGAAGACAACCACAGAAGAATGACGGCTGTGGAAAGTAACATTGAATTAAATTCTGAAAGGATTTATTAGGTACTTTTTTTCTTGGCTACAGTAGTTTCCTCCTTCTTCTCTCCCTCCTTCTCTGCCTCTTCTTCCTCAGGAATGATGGGGAGCTCCTCCTGCACTGCCTCTTTCTTGGTGGATGGAGGAAGGAGGTTGGTGAGGAAGTTCATGGTGTTGAGTAGAGCCTCTGTATGTAGATGAACATCCAGGGATGAGAAGGTCACCTGTATGGGAATGCAACGTCCACATTTTAATGGAGAAAAAACAATGGCATCTTTTCTTTTTTGCATCAAATATTGCTTTTGTTGGCAACAGTCTAAACATATTTTGGTTTTAAATTATGTATTTAGCAACTTTTTCAAGCATAAAATACTGATGGTGAAACTTGGTGCAAGAAAATAATGTACTCCAATACAGTGGAAATAATGTATTTAACATTTCCTTCACCTTGATGAGCTGCTCTGTATTGTTGTGCTGAGACTTGAACTCAGGGCCATTTCTATCAGCCTAAAAAAAAAGAGGACACAATCCATAATGAGAAAGCCATTTACAACCATTTGGAAGACATGCATCCTAACTGACAATTTGTAAACTGTAGATAAATATATCTCAAAATAATCAATTTCAACAATGGTATAACAACTTACTTTAATATACTCCAGGGTGAGCAGGTCAACCTCTGAGTTGTCCAGAGTGGTGATCAGCTGAACCTGCTGCTCTTCAGAATCTAAACAAAGAGGAAACAATTAACACATGACAAATACAAAGTGCAGCTAAGACTCATAACCCCCAAATTGAGTTATAAATAATGTCTCCTGAACTGTTTAAGGAGACACTCAGTCCTGAAAGCATCTACTGACCCATGTATTCAGGGCACTTGAGGCAGATTTCCCGTAGGTAGGTGTTAGAGGTCATGTCAAAGGTGCGTAGTTTCAGTTCAGTGCCCAGACCCTCTATGTCCAAGTGAAGCACCGCGACCTCCTGATCTCCAGAAAGACGACACAACTGAACAGAAAACTAGAAGAACAAAGAGGAGACAGAGGAGGAGAACATGCAGAGCGACAAAGAAAAAATAACTATTAGAATAATGGAAAGACAATTAGAGAATTTAAACAGCATGAAAGACAATGTTTTTTTGTAACTTTGTTTAACAAGACCTCTCTATACCTGACTGATTTCAAAGTTCAAGATGAGGTCAGTCATGTTCTTCTGAGCTTCTGAACTTTTACTTCTGTTAAACTTTGCGTAGTGCAGCGGCATCGGATTATCTGGGAAGAATGGTCGATCACCGACGGGAGAGCTGGGAGCATCGTAAAACAAATCTTCCTCTGAACCTGAGGGGCGACAAATCCAAAAACCCACACAATGACATATCTGCTATACTGAAATACACACACTCAAAAGAATGTAGTGCGACGATTACACGTGTCGCACAGCGTGGAGGAAATGGCTCAAGAATGCGTCTTACCCAACGAGGTGATGCTGATGGTTTCACATGACTCGAACATGAGAGAGGAGCGCTGGTCGGCTAAGTTCAGAGGTCTTCTGGGAGTGAGTTGTGGGGTGAACGACTGCTTCGGCTGAGGAGGAAAAAACACCAAAACATGAGACATACACATACTTCATTTTCTACAACTTGTTATTATTAGGTCATAACCATTACATCCTTCAAGAGTGTGGGACAGTGAACTTTCAAGATTAGATTAAAGAGGACAGTACCTGCCCCATAGAGGTGGTGTTCATTATCTAAACCTAAACACATACTTTGATACGGAGCTCAGCACTGTGTGTCAAGCTTTTCTGTCCATGAATCTGTAATAAACACTGTGTTGTGTTTTTGTTAGGAGCCCATGGAAATAGGTAAGTTCAAGTTTGAAAGGGCTTAGAACATTATGATCGAAGTATATGATGGACACGACCATGCTGCATTATGTCTCAGATTTGATGCTAAATCTAATCATTTTCTTCCACTGGTGGATTTGTATAAATGATCAAAAGATCCCTCTTAATCATTTTGTCTCTGAAGATGGTCTCACTATAACGAAATAGCTATCATTGACACTTAACATGTGTACAATTGAGCTCAAAACATCATGTTTTCTGCCCAAAACCATTACTTATTGTTAGGTAATTCATCTAATCAACACAAAATGTGAACAGAACCATTTAGGGATAATTGGACTGTTCTTACCTTGGAGGATGAAGCAGAGCCGTTTGCCGCAGGTATGCTCTCAGGCAGCGGGATACTGTCAACTAGCTCCAGAACATTTCGAAGTTTAACATCAGATATACGAAGAGACAGCAGGTGGAGCTCGCCCGACATCTTAAACCTAGAACACAGATGCAAACATCGGAACAAAAGATTTAGTGTGCTCAGAATCTTTAGCCCTACATCACAGAAAACGAAATAATAGGATGTTATGGAAAAACTTCAAACTGACTTTGCCATGCGGGAGTCTGTGACGACCATCGCCCTGCTGAAAACCACCGTCAGATCCACCGGCTCCAGAATGTGCAGCGGTGACTGTTTCTGCTTACGAGCCATTTTCCAGTCCCAATCTATACAAACACAGAACATGATTAGCATTTCCTTCTATTTCACAGAAAAATTGAAAACAGAGCATTCATACTTTTCCTATTCTCCTTTTATTTCCTCCATTCATATATGATCCCTCAATACTAAATGTCCTAAAATCATCCCTCTGTTTTCTAGGCTACAACAACCAACAAGGCTCCAAGAGTTAATCACCTACTACACACAATCATACACTAAGACTAAAGTATCCATGAAAGGTACCTGGTTTGCTATAAAGGAACTGCAGGCTGCTAAGCTGTATGTCAAAGCTGTCGTATGCTCTGGACATAATGTCTTCAATGTTGCTGGTGCCCACTGACAGCTGAGGCAGATTCTTCTTGCTTTGACTGGACATCTGAAAAGACAACACAATTGAAATGTTTAAACTTTTAGTACTCTAAAGTCCTCAAATTAAATATTTGGAAAAAAACAACTCAGAAGGCTCTTTTATACAGTTGTGTGTTGGTTGCACATTTAGCCCACTGTTACATTTTACACTCTCTGACCTGAAAATGTCCAAGATCCAAAAGCAGGATGTTTTGAGTGCCGTTGTAAAAGCCGGTCTGTGGAATGATGACATAGGAGGCCATCAGGTTCACCTTCAGGTCCAAAACTTTCTGTGTTTCGATCACATACATCAGACCTAAAAACAAAAGCAAGAAGTCGTTAACTTAATTGTAGCAAGAAAAGACAAAACAAGGGATCAGCTCGGTGATCAAAAAGACTTTCATGACATAACAAGAATGATTTGTTATAAAAAAAATCTTGATAACATTCATTCTCAGCCTAATGTGTAAAATATGCTAGAGTATGTTTTCTGCATATATTTAAAGTGGACCTATCATGCTATATTTGAAACATATATTGTAGGGCCATACCTATATAAAACATGTCTGTGAAGTTTTTTTTTCAAAATACCAAACAGATCATGCATTTAAGCCATGCCTCATTTCGCTCTATTTGCTCTTTTCCAGCCCTGTTTTTGCAAGGGCTGATTCTGCTTTTGTGGCAGACTACAGCGCCACTTACAGGCCTGGCATATGTACTACAGCGTCTCCAGCTCTTTCGAGCGGTCTCTCATTCCCCTGATAGGTGGAGAGTTGCCCATATAGGCGGAGCACCCCTTTTCTGATGTCAGAACAATTCAAATAATAATCAGCTCCGTTGCAGCCCCGTTTTTAGAGATTTGGGTATGGAGGAAAAGAGAGAGGGTTGTGTTTTCTGACACTTGGTGAGTTCCCTGACACACCGGGGACACATATTCATGTATAAAGACGTACAAAAGTGCATTTTGCATGATAGGTCCCCTTTAACCTAATTACTTATTCCCATTTCAACATTTCTAACAGTTGTACTGTTCAAAGGAAGGGTAGCTTTGCTTTGTGCATTTGTAATATCAAAACAAGCTTAAAATCTCAGCAAACAATCTCAGGAAACAAGGAAGTAAACAGGAACACCACAATTCAACTGACTTAGAGGGCGAGGCCCGCAGGGTATGGATAAGCATATGGGAAAAGGAAAATGACCCAGTTAATAGAGGGGCAGAGGAATGGACATATCTGCCCATCAGAGTTGAGACCAGGCTTGGGATCAGTTCCTGAGGTCTGTACATGTGTGTGCCACTGACCGGTGGATGTGCGGTCTCTAAACTGCTCCAGTTTCATGAGGGTTGCGTTGGTGAGCTCATCCAGCTGCAGGTCATCGGGGGGCAAGAAGAACGCTGACATGCTGTTCACCGTTATCTACAGAGACAAAACCCACCAGAAATATATAATATTTACAACTTTTCATGTTCTTTTATTATGTAATGCTGGTACATGTATGCCGACAGACACCACTCACAGCGTCATAGATGATTTCCAAGGGTTGTGATTCCACATGAAGCCGCTGGTTGGCGCTCTCATCCAGCGGGTTGGTCTCAAACAGGATGCAGAGCAGCGGGGTCCCGTCTCCTGTGGCGGCCTTCCTGGATGACAGGAGGGTCGGTGCGGGCCGGTTACTGGCCAGGCCGGTGACTTCAAACAAACTGAGCTGGGCTGTGATTCTGATGAAGAAAAAGATAATAAATGTCGATTTCACCAATATCAGGATCCTGAATATGAGATTTACTGTCAAGACAGAGCTCGGAGCCAGTGGCCCTTTGCATGTGAGAGGGCCCACCACCTCATTCTAACACAACGATTATTAGTTCCAGATAGTTCTACACGACTGAATACTAGTGCTGTAGCGACGCGTCGACGTCGTCGACGCGTTGACTTCAAAATATCGTCGACGACATATTTCCGCGTCGACGCGTCGCCACCATAGACTGTATGACGCCACACACACGTGGGTCACCCAAAGCAACAAGCAGTTCGCAATCGCACTTCTAACACAATGGAGACTGAAACGGCTACCAACTCCTCCTCACAGGATTGCGCACGAAGCCCTCAAACGAAAACATCTCGCCCCAGGTCTTCAAAAGCATGGGAATATTTTAAAGTTAGTCCAAAACGCAAAGATATTTATATATTTATATCTCACTGAGACTGCTGCTTGATCGGAAGCAGCAGCTAGCTGTGGTGGCAACCATTAGCAGCTAGCATTTGCTCTCCGATTTAAAATGGAATTATGGATTATAAATTCAATAATTTTTTTATACATAGACGTTAAAAACCTATGGATTAACCGATTCAGCCGCGTTTTTTCTCATTTGAATGCCATTGAACACGTATTTTTATCAGATTGACAGCTACGGCGGTGAGACGATCTCCCTAGAAGCTCTGTGAAGGTACGTGTTGTGATGACTGTATTTGCTTCCCCTGTCGCGAGTCCGGATCACTCAGTGATGATACTATGTACCTACATAATCTGTGGAGTCTCAGCTTTAATCGGATATCTTGTATGTGCAGCTACGATAAGTAATAAGGGTACTTTTATCTTGAGATCTGTGCCAATGTCCGTTAGCATTTTTCGCTCAGGGGTCATTTAGATGCTTCTTATGAGACTTGTGTTTTGTTTTGGTAAACATGGTTTGTATCGTCAGTTAGCTGAGATTATTTCCGTTAATCTGGTATAACACATTAATAGGTTCTTAAATATTAAGATCCCCTGAGACACAGTATCGTGAAAAATTTTTTTTTTACATTACGTTTTTTATGAATTGAACAACAGAAAAATAATCGTTCGATTAGTCGACTAATCGATCAAATAATCGCCCGATTAATCGTTTTCAAAATAATCGTTTCCCCCCAGCACTACTGAATACATAGTTATGAAAATTATATATTCAATTCCTGCCAATAAATCCCCACTCCCAATAAATCATACACACCGGCCCTTTAAATATATATATTTGTTTTTATTTGTATTGAAACGGAAACAAAGGTGCTTGTGCTGAATGTTTTTTTACTCAAAATCAATTGAATAGGGTGTGTTTTCAATGGAGGCTCTTTAAAACATTAAGTACAAATGCAATCAATGTTATGAAGGACCCCGCCCCCCACCCAAAAGAAAAGGACCCACTTGATGGCTTGCGCTCCAGGTCTCTGAGTGAGTGTGGACTTGAGCTCTCCCACAGTCAGCCTGATGATCTCATCTTTGTCCTTGTTGTCATTGATGGACACAGACAGCCTCTCCATGTGGAAATCGACCTTCATGTCCTCAAACTATAAATAAACAACAACATAGTTCATAATTAAAGTATCTGATACAGTTTCTGCTATTTGATCTTTGTTTGTTGTGGGTTGGAGAGCCAGACTTTAGTGTATTATTCGTTGACTGGTGGGTGTCAGAGGGAAGAGACTCACATTCTTTGGCAGGTTTGGATTTGCAGCGGTGTCACTGTATCCGATGGCAGTGTAGAGTTTGGATTTCTCAGCGTAGGTTAACAGCTCATCAAAACCTTAAACAGAGAGAAAGGGCAAGTGGGAATACGTGGAATAGAAAGAATGTGAGGAGTAAGAAAAGCCAACAACATAGAGGGATTTTTACAAAAATACACTGGAGCACTTTGCTTTGGTTCTGTTATTATTATCTTTTATAATGTCTTGCTGGTTTTTCTTTTAATGGGTTACCTCCAGTCTTGACCTCTTCGGTTTCTGATTCGGCCTCTCCTCCCAAATTCCACATCCAGCTCAACCAGCCCTGAGACTCCTCCTCCTCCATCTTAAGCCCTGGACGGAAAATTCGTAGACCTGCTTTGCTTGCCTGGGAAAGTAAAAAAAGATAGTTGACAGCTTGAATTTTTTTTAAATATAATATATTATTATTTTTTTTTTTTCAAATGTTGGCAGTACAAATTGCATTACGAGTCATTAAAATGTATCCAAGACAAAATATTATTTAACAAGCCGCCAATATTTATATGCAGTATTTTGTATTTGAAATATTCTGTGGCAGAATTGCAGTCTATAGCAAAAATAGGTGCAGTAAAGCTAAGACTATGTAAAACTCACAGGTGCATCTTGAGTGCATAATCCTTCAGCACTTCAGTCTAAACTTAGACCACAAGATGCCAGTGCCAATAACTGTCATCACTTCGGTCATATGATGGTTGAAACTTGCTTTCAAATAATTAATAGTACAGAGTATAATTGATATGTCTTTTGTAATCCATTAGCATGATTGGAAATGTATGTATTCATCACTGTTTTGCTGTATCTGTGGAAAGTAGAATATAGGACGGTTGAAATGATCTTAACAGTTTAGCATAATTTGTTAGCTACAGTGCTGCAGACATTACAATTGACGCTACAGATACAGTACAGAGTAGAATACAGTTCACAAGGTGAAACAGAGCTTACCTCCACCTCCGCCTGCTGTCTGGCCAACGTGATGTTAAAAATATCCAAGGTCTTCTCAGGCCCCTGAGAATAGATACAAGACACGCTCATTAGCTTTTAGCGGCTTCTTGCTACATCATGCAGGAATGCATTGATTCCTTATTGTTCATTATTAATCACATCAGGAGGAGATTATGCTTGCAGAGCAGAGAAGAGACAGAGGGAAATACATTTAGATTTAGAGATGTATCTCTCTGCAGTACATAACCTCAAATGCAATTCGATCAATCCTTCTAAAGGGTTGAACACCAGATAAGTGGGTCATTATGGCTTGAACGATGCATCACTTGAATGATTTTGAGAAGGTAATTAACTAGTTGCATATTATATTACATTTACCTTTCATACAGGCAATAAATGATGGTCACTGAAGCCAAGCAAGTATTGTCAGTGTACACTTGGGCAGAAACTGCAGGTCTGAACTTGAATAGGAAGTATTTTCCCACAAGAAATACATTTAGAGAGCCACATAGGTTTATAATTCAAGGCCACACATATAATCAAGTTACAATTACATTTTCTTCCTACTTTGGCCTCTTTCCTCACCATTACCCATTTCAAATTTCTTACATTTAAATAATACTTCGTGGCATGACAGACAAGGACTTTTTAAAGCATGAAAAAATACATTAAAAACAGACTACATAATATTGGTTTATGAAAGAAATGTAATAATTGTATCTTGCTGAAATCAATGCATCATGATGCATGAAAATAGGTTGGATGAGGGAGAAACTACTTTCTATCTAGTACTTGGCAACATTGAAAGAAAAATACTTGAAAGAAAAATCGTATGAGGCTGTCAGTGTTTCAAATATGAGGATATTAAGAGATATAAAAATAGCGAACTTGATATCTCCCCCTCCTCCCCCTGTCAGATTTGTCCAGCTCTCTCTCACCTCGAGTTCCTTGAGCAGGTCCTCGCTGGGTTTCTTGCAGGTGATTTTGGTCTTGTACAGCTCTCTGTAACACTTGATCGTCTGCCGGTGAATGCGAATGTGCTGCCAGGACCACATCTGGAGACGAGGTTTTACATCCACCTCCAGGACGCTTGTGATCATGTACTTCCACCTGCAAGAAGGGAACATCGATGCATAAAGTCAACTTCACAATCGACAATACTAAAGTTGTAAAATGTCACATGTCATTTGGCATTTAAAAACCAAAGTCAAATGTTAAAAGTATTTTCTGACCATATGCAGGCATTTCTGTGAACCTGGACCTCGGGTCTGTACTTCCTGTACGGGAGATTGCGAGACATCAAATCCACTGAGCCCAGCAGCCCCAGGATGCTAATGTACTGGAAAGAGAGGAAGGTAGCAATTACACATGTGCAAAGAGTCCTGACAGATATGCAGTTATCATCACTGAACAGCTCTTTAACAATTTACCCCTTGACATTTTGAATTCATTTTATTTTCCTTAACTTCTCTCTATTTCTCTCCCCTTTTTTTAAACAGGCTTTGCCTTTTACATAGACAAGTTTATACACTACACACAAACTTACCTGGGGTCTGTTGAGTTCAATGGCCACCTCACTGAGATGGACCATCAGGTCCACTTTAGGAGAGGAAAAGTCCACATCTGACCTGGGATTCATCCGCAGTTTAGCGGCCGCTGAGATAGGACGAAAAACTGTGGAGCAGCAACATCAAAATTATTTTTAGAAGCAAACTGTTAACATTAACGATATTCTTATAAACTTTACATTTGTACAGTGATTTATGGACCTGTATTTTAGTGGGATATAACATTTTAAAATACTTTTTCAATTGCAAAGTTCTCCCTTCAAAAATGCAAAAGCTTGTACCAGCAATAGAAACTCAAAAGTGCTGAAATCTGTTCAAATATGTTGCTGTTGATGGTGTGATTCACACATTGTTGGTGGCCCACAGTGTAAGAGCTGGCCATTACATCCCAAGAGCCACTTCACATTTTACAAGAAAACTACTGATTTATGTGTGCGTAGTAAAATGCGGCTTCATTAGGAGAGCTATACAATATTTTCAAGTGTGCATATTAAATAACAGTATAAAAACTGAAAACATTTAGATTCAGTTAGATACTCACTGAAGTCATGGCTGATTGAAAGAGAGTTCTGTGCGTCGATGCTGCTCTGCAGACATTGCTACAAAAAGACAAAGGTAAAGGAACTTAATTTACATTTCATATGTTATCATTACTCATATTCTTAAATCTTATTGAATCTCTATGTGTTAACGCCTTAACAACATCCAGAATTAAATCATCACTACAAAACAATAATTACCATTGGCCGTATTCTAGGGAGAGTCTTTGTGCATTAGATGAAAGGTTTACTTAATCTGCATCAAGCTCAGAAGCATTTGCAGAAGTCTTTTGACATTTCCACCAAGAACATTTAAAAGCAAAGGCTTTTAAAGGATTTAAGAAAAAAAAAGGTTACATTGAATCTTCCCTGCTGCTTGAAAGTGACGACTGGCCCGTTCAGAGTGTTATTTATGCTGAATAAAACAGACTATGGCTTGACTAAAGCAAGGCTTGCGTAGGCAATGTACAACACAGCGTTAATTGTGATACTCACTAAGGCTTCCTCTGCATTGTGATTGGAGAAGAGTAAAGAGTCGACATTCCAGTAGGCAAACAAGTTGTCTAGTTGAACCAACTGAGAAGAAGGTAAACAAAAGACAATTAGAGTAGTTCAGATGCTTACCATGAGGAAGAAACATATCTGACAGTGTACAATGATTTCAAAGGTTTGGACCCAAAAGTGGGGTTATTAGTAAATATGATCGGTTTCTAGTTGCATAAATGTTTTGGGTACAGATATAGCTCATCTGATTATGTGGTTCAATTTCTCACCTTGAAGAAAAGTCGGGAATTCTCATCCAAAAGTCTGGGATTCCATTTCTCATCACATGTCTGGAGGAGTCAAACAAACGGTGTTAAAATTGTATTATATAATGTTTAAGTTTGAACTAAGAATTCACGACTAGCAACGCCTTAATTATTGAATGTTATTAGGATACAATCTAAAAGGAGGGACCTTAAAAAAACATTACCTGAAGACTGAGGTTTTTAAGTGACACTCCAAATGACAAGGGGCAGTTTGGATTGGTGACCTGTGGAAAAGAAAACCGTTGGGGATTACGTCTTTCTCTCTGTGCTTATCAATTACTGCTTACAAAAACAAATGTGAGCAACGCTGTACAGGCATACCCATAAGTGAGGTAACTCAGGGTTGAATACTCACATCATCTTCATAGCGCACATGGATGTTAGAGATCTTAACTTGCAGGTTTTTGATGACCTGAGTGACCAGCTTCTCCACAAAGGTGTCCTGTTTTTCAACATCTGGATTCTCTGTCCAACAGAAACAAATGTTATCAATATGAGACCTTAACGAGTCCTGCAACGCACCTGAAGCTTAACTTTAGGAAACAGACCTCTGACCTCATGCACAATAATGATATAAAACCTTCTAACAATGCTTTTCAATACAACATGCCATATCACCAGAAGTAGGTGTTAACTTCTATTTTTAGAACACACATTGACAAAAAAACACACGCCAACACACCTTGCTCAGCAGCTTTCTGCTTTGTCTCCTCTATCCGCTGTAGCTCCCTCTGACGAGCCTCCTGTAGCTGCTTCTCCTCCTTGTCTGCATCATACTTTATGCCTGGAAAGAATTGGGTGAATAGAAATGATTATCCGACTGCACATTGGAAACAATGAACTGTACAGAAGGTGGTGCTTGAGTTTCCTGTTTGTCCTGACAAGTACTTTAGGGTCATGAATACGTTTTGAGACCCTCTTTGTCTGACTTCTGTTCTACAGTGCGTTGTGTGTGCTAGTCATAAGGGTCATTCAGGAGGGTTGACATTGATAAGACTGATATTTTAAATGCATTTAGAGGCAAAGATGTTTACTGTGTTTTCCTTTTGACATTGACATACAGCAGTTAATATCCTTTAGGAACTGTATTGGTCAACTGAAATGGTGGTAATAATCAGTATACACTATAATGTCAATGATGATGAATTAAATCTCATATTTGATGCATGCTATTCATCTTACTTGCTGTGGGGACTATGAGTAGATAGACCCCATCCAGTGTTGCCTCTACAGACTGTGTGTACAGGTTCTTCCATGGGATCTTTAGCTCAAGCCGTCCTGTTAACAGAAACACAAAGTGAGAAAACATTCTTCTCCATAGAAAGTGTTTTAAATCGGGACGCCAACTACAATCTCACCTATATGACCGGCTCTCACTTTAAAAGGAATGTCAAGTTGACTCTGTAACAAAATAAACAGTTTACTAACGCACATAATGAATAAATAACAGACTAATTTTGCACATTTATTAGCAACTTACCAAGGCATTTTCCTTTATTTCAAGATTTCTAAGAACAGCATCACCTGTGATCAAATGAGTATTTGTTAACTGATTGTTACTATGTACATTCTGATGAGCAAACAGATTAGTATTGGATTGTGGCTCATAGAAACACAGTCCGATCAACAGACCTTAGTATCGATTTAATTCAACGTAATATAAAAGCCTTGCATTGCAGGGTTTGGTAAAACGAGAGCATACACAGTGGTTAAACTAGTCTACTAGTTGCTACAAGTTTGTACATTTTTAGCTTTGGCTCGGAAAGCTCTCTTCTAATCCCCTAATTGCGCGGACAGTGTGCAGAGCTGCGAGTATCAGACTCGATGGCTGAGCTTTTGAAACGGAGTATGTATGAAACATTCAGTATGTTTCAGTATGAACCACAGTCTGAACCACAGTCTGAACCACAGACTGTCACCTGGCTCTGTGGAAGGGTGTGACCCCGAACTGCTTCTCTGAAACTACCACTAAGCAAACATCCTTGTCGTAGAAAACAAGGTACGTTATCAAAAAGGTAATTGTAGCATTCACAAATGAACACTGTTGACTGATATACCGGTACATAGTGGACAGTTAACAAATAAATACCCAGACTGACGCTGACAGCTGGAAGCCTCACACGAGTGGTGACTAACGTCTGTTAGCATTAGCTAGCTAGCTTGGCGAGCGAGCTAGTCCACGGAAATTACAAACACAAGTTCACTTACCTCCCCATATGGCAAGCTTTAGCTGTGAGCAGTCAAGGTTGACAACGTAGTCCCCTAAAAATCGGTTGAGGACATCAACCACCAAGCTTTCGAAGACCATGTTGGCGTTTCTCTCATCTACTTGTAACCATGTTTACATTCTGTCAGGCGCTTGCGTTTACCCACTGCCCAGTCTGCAGATTAGGACGTCCCGATGTGGGCGGGACTTGACGTCATGCCGTACCTGCAATACGATTGGTTTCTAGAAAGATCACTCCCTTATGCAACTCTTGGAAAGAGGGGACACGAGGATAAGTAGGCAGTAGGCTAAGTGGCTTTATGTGGGATTTTATTCCACAGTTGCAGTCCTTAAATACATTTGTATTTGTTTATCCTTTGTTTATTTAGCCAGAAAGTTCTCATTGACTCAAAAGGTGTCCTTCTCCAGGGTGTCCTGGTCAATAATGCAGCATAAGTAATCACATACAATTAACTTGTCATATTCAAACATTCAAATCAATCATCCAGTACAACACTTAAATAGCCCTTATTTAAATGATTCCGTCCTAAAAGTTGTAATAGCTGAATCCAGACTAATTTTGCTTTATTTTGCCTAAGAGGCGGTTTGGCAGCCATGAATATAAGGCGGGGTTTATGAAAAACGCTAAAGGAATGCACGGTAAGATGTCTCCTATGCTGTATCCAGTTTTCTTAAAATGCTTACTTTGTGTGTAGCCTACTTATCCATGCCACTCTTTAAAAAAAACGTACATCAGGACGTCCCGCGGTAAGCGTTACAAATGCACACTGCTGCAACACTGGGAAAGAGGCCTGAGGTAAATACACTTTAAGTAAATAAATCATGTATTTTTCTTTTATTTGGTCTTTATCCTTTATTAAGCCAAAAGGTCCTGTTGATATATACATGGTGGGAGAAGTACTCAGATCTTGTACTTTTGTAAAAGTAGAAATAGCCTATACCAGAGTGAAGGAACACTCAGTTACAAGTAAAAGTCCCGCATTCAAAATGCTACTCAAGTATAACTACAAATGTATTAGCATCAAAATATACCAAAAGTTAAAGTTTTCATTATTATTGTTGATGCATTAAAGTGTTATCAAAGCTGGTAAAAGTTCAGCTAGTTTTAATGACTTTGTATGCTTTGTATGCAGGGTAGCTTGTGAATTTACTCCAGGTGTAACTAAAGTCTTTTATAAGTGTTGTTTATATTTCACATTAATCATCCAAATATGCAAAGTAACTAAAGGTATACATTAAATGTAGTGGAGTAAAAGGACACAATTTTAGAGAAGTACGAAGTAGCATAACATGGAAATACTCAAGTAAGGTACAAGTATCTCAACATCGTACTTAAGTACAGTAGCCTACTTGAGTAAATGTGCTTAGTTACTTCCCACTTCTGGTCCTGGTCAAGACGACAGCATAAACATTCACGTTAAAACTATTTCACATGTTAGAACCATAGCGGTACTTAGTGTAGAACACACAGAACACATCAAAGCAACACAAGCAAAATAGTAAAAGGAGATGGGCATACAGGACATACCAGTGAACTCAATAACACATTCCACTAATGTCAAGCATTGTGCAATACAGCAACATGTTTCCTTCAGGACAGTTTCTACAAGAACTTAAAAGTCTAATAATTATGTTAATGGTCAAACATTATGAACATTTTCTCTTGCTAGGGAGACAGGTGAAACCGGATATCTAAAACAAGGTACAGTAACCTCACATAAACATGCTATATTTGACACTGCAGTTTGACTTACATGTATGGTTTAATACCAAAAATACATTATACACTTTTAAATACTGTATACACTTTTAAATACTCTCTGTGGTAGCCTTACTATCTTGAAAATTATAACACGATAGCTGCGAAATGCTCATACAACCTTCACAAACTATTTTATTTTTAACGTCCCTCTCTTTAACCTCTTTCTTTGTACACTGTGTCATATTTATATCATGTGCTGTCCACTCTCCAAATGACACAACATGAGTTATTCATCTATGCGTTTTTTAAGAGGAAGTAACTCAGACAGTGGTATTGTTACCGCTCCAATGACTGTTCCTCTCCTCATCGCACCAGCTGCAGGTTTACCCACTACTTTCAACCTGAGCTGCAGCTCCTGCAGATCCTCTCTTCTGAGCTCTGTAAAGAAAAAATCTTCTTTAAACACAGGGTTGCGGCAGTTCCTGATGGTGGCGCCCTCCTGTTGCTGCAGCTTCCCTGGGATCAGACACAAACTCACTGCACAGTTCAGGGTTCGTCGGTCACTATCATCCCATAGGCCTTCCACAGACTCCACACGCACTCTGACGGTGGAAAGGGATAAAAACGTGTTGGTGGAGAATGTGGTGTGCTCAGCATAGAGGTGCACTCTTCCTCTGCCCTGCAAAGTGAGGACGTGTTCGTGCTGAGGTCTTTCCTGGCACTGCAGGACATCCAGCGGGAAGAGAGCAGGTGGAGCTAAGGTGAGTGAGCTGCCCTCTAAACTCGGAGGGCTGCTGTGTGATGTTGTTAAACTTAAACCCCCCCTCTTCAATCTCACTCTGGTCTCCCTGCTGTTAATCAGCGACGGGCAGGATTTTGCTCCTTTAAGATGGCCACTGCCTGGTGGTAAGTAGAGGGAGGATTTAGGACTATAAGGTGAACTAAGGGGAGAGCAGTCACTGGAAGAAGGTGTTTCACTTCCTGTGCTTCCTGTCTCTGAGAGACTCTTGGATGAGAACAGAGGGAGAACCCCCAATAACGTTTTCTTTGGCAGGTTTGTCACTTTTGCCATTCTGGGTGGTGCAGTAGGACGGCTTCTATCAAACAAGTAAACAGGGCGCTTTGAGTGGAACAAAGACTCTTTTCTTCGAGTGTTGGGGCTCTCAAATATTCCAGTCAGACCATACCCCTCTGCAGAGAATGGCAACGGTTTCTTTATATTCCTCCAAGCCATTGATGCATGTATATTCTTCTTCCTCAGGTCCTCTGACTTTACATATGAAGAGTGTGACAAGGTGCTGCTTCTCTTGCAAAGCCTAGGGGGCAGGCAGAACTCTGGGATTTTGTCTGGTGTGAGGATGTTGTTGTGCAGATTGTGAGAGAGACTGGCTTTAGAAGAGAGAAAGATGTCCTCCTCACTCGTCCCCATGTACCGGCTCAGCTCTAGAGGAATGCTCTCCATGCTCTCCCTTATCTTCTCAAAGACCCACATATTTATTTTCTGATGATTTTGTACGAAGTGACGTCCAATCCTTTTTCCTTTTGCAACTAGAATGAAACATATTATTTTGGTAAATCAACCAAACAGTGCACAAAACAGAACACATATTTCAGAACTAGAAAAAGTTAAAGTTTATTTTAAATGGTGAAATGACATTATCTCCTTACCTGCTGTGGTCTCGATGCGTCCACCTTTGAAGAAAGATCTGGGTCTGTGACAATGACTTGACAACGATGGTTTTAAAGGTGAGGGTGAGGCTCTGCATCACTGGTTCGCTGCCTCTGCCTGCGTCAGAAAACAAGCCGCACGTACATACACACAACTACACACGGTGTATCAAGTCACTCAGTGTCAGCTGGAGACTGGGTGGGTGGGTGGGAAATCAGAATCGGGTGCATTGATACGCATTTAGCCATGCTTCATGAACGTAGTGGCATCTTTCCCATTGATAGAATTTACGTCAACACTGAAATGCCTATTGTACTGAATAAACAGCACAAAAAAAACAAAGCAAATGTCGTGCTTACTTAAATTCCACTTTAACATGCAGCATTCACATTTAAAATACTATTTGAATATTGACAAATTAAAACTTTGATACAATTACATTTTTATATCTGCAGTCCAAATGTAAGGACATCTTAAGTTTTAATATCAATAATACACCACTAAAAGATTAAATAGTATGACATTATACGTTTCTTTCCTTTACTTTTATTTAGCTTAAAACACATTGAAGTGTGCCTTGATGTTACCATGAAGCGGAAGTATAATCTGCTTTTAAAGAAGCTGACCTCGGTTCAAAGACAGGAGCGTGCAGGCCCACAGAGAGCACCCCCCACCTCAAAGGCCCATTGACCTTAAAACAGCTGGCCATCCGGACACATAACTGACTTGGTTTATACCAACAAGTTATTGTAAACAAATCTTTCATATATTTTCAAATAATTCAGGGAACATGTGATTTTGTATTAATGAGACCAATACTATTTAGAGTTAGTTTAACAAACACCTTTTTATTATTATTTGAACATGACAGATGTAAATATATCATATGTACATGCATACTTGGCTCCTTTACACCCAGCTGAAAGAAATGTGACCTTAAAACGTTTTTGTTTGTTACTTTCTGCAAAAATTGTAACTGTCTTTTATTGGCACTCGGGGAGAAATTGTCTTCCAAATTGAATTCAGAATCCATTAAATTGCATTAATCTTGTTTAATGTGGAAGTGCTGATAAATTATGATGATGTCTTTCTGATAATTCTTACCACATTCATTTCATCTAGATGATTTTTGTTGTTTCAGTTATATTGCCTAAAATTCACTAATCCATAAAACAATTCTATCCAACAACATCTGTCATGTTGGTAAGACTTTTTCTAAACACATTACTATGTGAGTAATGGTTTATTTCATGTTATCGAACGCTGGCATTTTATACTCCGACTCTACACAGCTGAGGCCAGGCTGCCGAACTTGAAGGACATTTACACAATGTGAGTACTTCCACCACAAGAGGGCGTAAAAGGATTAGATTAACTGTCAGGCAAATTTAGACATCAGTGAGAAATATTTATGAAAGTGCATATTGTATGTACATTATTAATACTTGCTTCATTGAAATTATCCTTTCCTATTGTTCTAATTAAACTGTAATAGAAAAACAATATTCCTGCCTGAATGATTGTTTGCATAGTGTGTGTGTGTGACATCGAAGTTATATTTTCATAAGGAGTCCGGGGCCCCCAGAGCACCACAGGGTCAGGAGGCTTTTCATGATAGTGAAGATCGACTTCATTACACCAATAAAAAACTAGAGTGCTCTCTGTAATGGAGAGATACATGATTGGGAGTCAGAGAAGGACCTTTGCTTTTAACCACTGTCACAGCTGCAATTAGCGCTAACAAGAGAACAGAGCGTTGTCGCCAACGCTTAACCGCTGTCAAGTGAATTAGTGTTAAAACCTTTTTTGTTCTGGATCTCTGCATTTCAAATAAGACATTTTTTTGTTGTTAATTTTTTGTGTAAAAAAAACATGAACTAATCAACCAAAATGCTGTATAAGTCTTATTGAAAGGTATTTTATTCTACTAACTCGTAGTGAAGATGTTGGTAGAGTGATACTTGTTAACAACCAAGCCCTTGCACCCTTGCTTACATGCATAATTATTACATTCATTTAAACACATATTTACAGTCTTTGCCTGATATGCGTTATTTAGGGAGCAGGTCAACCGACTTTTGGCTGAGTTTAAGCAACAGTCTCATGATAAATCTTAAGCAGTAAGGTCCTAAAATGAAACCACACTTCCCTCTGCATTTGCCTATCCATGATAATTGATGTACAGGCTGTAACTTCATCCAACTAACCGCCCGCCCAGAGCTACAAATGACTTTTAGCCTTCCTTGACAAAGAAAGCACAATGGAAACGTTGTCTCTATTTTCATGGAAGTTGACTCTTTCTTGGTTTGAAGAATTACTCCTAAGTGTCTGTGGTCATTCAGTTCAGAGTGGTGAATGGTACAGGAAAGATCAGTAAACCAAGTTGTTGGTCATTCTATGAGGTTAATCTTCCTTTAAAGCATCTCTAGCTCCAATTTCAAATGATAAATCAGTTTCAAACTTTCTTTGTATCCCACTTTTTTGTGAGTTTGCAATTTAAACTCTCCTAATGATTTGTTCAAATATCTTTTAGAAAGATAATTGACAACACTGTATTATTATTATTATTATGAAACCAAACAAACATGCATTATTTAGGATGAACACAGTTTTAGTCAAGATTATGAAGTTTAATGTATTTCAATATATTAAAAGCCTCAGAAATGGGTATAATGAAAGCCTATATATATAATACACTCTTGTGAGTTAGTAGCTTAAACAAGAAAAAGAACATGCCTCATATGTCACATGCAAAATTAAATATTACTTTAACATACATCACGTGAAATGTAAACCTAGTTACTCTTATATATAATTGTATGTATTTGAAGTGTTTTAGATTGCTTAAATGTTTGGTCAAAAACATATAAAGCACATGTTTATATTCCCTTCTTCACACATATCTTAGTGTGTCACTGTGTATACGTTCATGTAACCACATTGATCCAAAGTAGTTTTAGGAAGCCAAACCTTTGTTATATGGTTCTCCCTGTAAGACTGCCAATTATTATGTTTTGACATTGTGAAATGAGAATTAAAATTCAAGTACAAACTCTGAACAGTGGAAAAGCTGATGGCACACTTTGTTAATTTCCATTTCACTTTAATCACTGTTATTTAGCAGCCACATGAGGCTATGGGCAAAGCACTTAACCTCTGATGAAATTGCTGAAGTTTTTTGGCCAGATAACTTCTTTGTCTGAACTCCAAAAGAGAAAGTGAGAAAGCAGGGAAGTCTGAAAGGAGAAATATTGGGAAGGAGGCCAGAATAGCTGAACCATTGACCTGTTTTGACTTAATAGTCAAATGTAAAAAAGGCTAATAAAGTGTAATAATTTGGGCCTATAAAGTTAGATGGCAGATTAAAGATGATATGAGAAGACCTTACTTCGAGGACAGTGCAGAGACAATTCACTTCAGCCTGAGGCGGCTGATCAAATTTGACCCAAGATCAGTGAATCATCGTCGAATTATTAAGGAGAAAGGGGGAGCAGACTGGCTGAAAAGATAGGGTACAGGAAGGTAAGGGGAGAGGGGAAACCAAACAGAAGGACAGGGAAGACGCGGAAGATGCCGATTAGGGAGTGAGAAAAACAGAGCGGGGAAAAATGAATGTTTTGAGTTATAATCAGAAAACGAGAATTTGGTACATAATGGAGAAAATACAGAGAGGAAGAGTTACAGCAATGTGCAGTAGTCCAAAGTGACCTGTCGTTAGGACTTGCTCCGCTGACATCTTCTCTCTGTCTCGAGGCCTGATGCCAATATGATAATCTCCCTGATGACCCCTCATCCCACTATTAAAGACCACAGCACTGATTATGGCAAAGCGACCATTACGAAGATAAGAGCAGATGTGCTAACACTGAATCATATATTTACAGTTAAAAGTTGTCACATGTACCACGACAATACAACATACCAATAAAGCCCCCTTCCTATTGGCCAAAAAAAAACATTTACACTCACTGATATCTGGCTTTTGTCTTTAAAGGTTACTTCCAGCATTCCTTAGTACAGTTGTCATATATGTCCAACTCCAGAGCAAGTGATGGAAACGCATAGCTAAATGGGCTCGCTGATTTTGGTACATTGGATGAAAATTATCTTAAAAATGTTTTTTTACAGAAACAATAGTAATATAGTTTTAAGAAAACCTAATTTAACCTCGACAGAAACAAAGTAATACTCATCCAAACCATCTTTCAACTGTTACAACAATTACTAACTCTGGTTTGAGATTGGAAAGAGAGATTTAACAGTTTTCTACTGCTCACTAACCCTGATTTCCTATATTTAAAAAAACCCTGCATGCGCACATTTTGGGAGGAAGAGCCTCTCCCTCATATAGCCAGGTGTCCTGAGCAAAATGCTTAACCCCCAACGACTCCAGTAAATCTGCTCAGCAACCATCAGATCATAACAGCAAGTATGACACTAAAATAATGAGTTTAAATACAATTTATATTTTAAGATTGGTGTTTAATTCATGCAATATTCACATGGTTGATGAAAATCCAAAATGGAATCCAGTGGCATACCATTTTTGGGGTGTGTAAAGTTACATTTTGAGTATAACTTTCACTAACTGCTCATAATCTCTGGCGTTGTTATAAGTAAAAAGCTCTAATTAGCTGACCAATAGCATCTGGCGTTACTGCATGGTAGGTTTGACCTTTAGTATTTAGTGCGGCACACTACAGGTCTTTAAATTAACTTAATTAAACTGGATGAAAGTGAAGGTATGAATGTAAAAGTCAAATTATTTGTGTTATGGAATATCAATTGCAGACACATTAGCAAATTAGTTAACAAAGATTACAATTTCAAAATACAGAGCCATTCGAGATAATAACCTTATGATAATTTCAAGACAGAATAATAGGATAATTAATAGCACATTAATTGTCCTTGCGTAACACTTTTGCTAATGGTTTACTAAAATGCATAATGACTTACTTAGCACAATTTCTCCATTATGTTTTATGTATTTCTATCAACAAGCTGATTACATATAGTGAAACAAGTCTATAAATATTGCATTGGCACACATCAGTAAGATAATTGCAGCAGCAGGTGAAACACAATGAAATAATGGATCTACTTATTGATTATTTAAACTAAAACGATATATAAACTAAGGCCATAGACAAACTTCTGTTCCACATGAATATGGTCATCAAACAACAACATTTTCACCACACACAATAACTCCATAACAACGGGACATCTGATAGAAGATTATATTTGAAGAGACTCATAAATCCTCTCTTTATTTGAGTTATTTGCATCCCATAATGGGAGATCTTAGTTCAAATAACTTACTTGGATCTTACTTTATTAGGAATATAGTTATAGATATTTTTAGAAACACTAAAATACAAATGTTTGTATGGTAAAAATGTGAGTTCCTACATTAAAAAGGGAAAGTAGAAGAACATATCAATTATGAGTTTGAACTAGTGTCATTATATAAAAATATAATGAGATATCCAGTCCATAAAAATGTGAATAGCTGGACTGGGAGGAATTTCAACCCCTTTTCATGTTATATTTATCATCACATCGTTATCAATTAAATACAAATAAATTCGCATTTGGTCATTTGTCTCTCTCAAGTCTCTGTCTGTCTTTTTGCCTCTTTTAAGTTCCTCGTGTACAAATCTTGTCAGACTGCATTAGGAGGTCAGCAGTCATCTTGTAATCTGAGACAAAAGAGAAACCTCTTAAGAATATTGCAGTTTCATTAGTTTTGAAAGAGGTTATCAAGAGCTAATGACCTTGTATAGCCGTACATCTCTCTCTCTCTCACAATGTCCGTTCATCCTTTCCTTTTGTTTCTTCTTTTCTTTGTCACCCTCTTAACTTTACTGTCTCTGCTTATTTTACCTCCTTTTAGAAATGTGAGGAAGCCTGAGCCCATTTGAAGTAGTGAGAGTTATTTTCTAATTTGCTTCCGTCGCTCTATTCAGATTTTTCTGATGAAACAATTTGATGCGTTTAAACTTTTAATATTAAGGGCTTTATGAAGTTAATTTGGCAGATGTCTGATCTCTGATAAAACTGTTAAACAAAGTTAGTAGTTGCTGCAATGCAGTTTATTGCCTCCATTAATGGTTGAAATGGCTCCACTGAACAAGGAATCCTACAGCAATTATAGGTTTAAAGAAATTAGAACACACTTCTGTTTTCTAATGTTGCCAATATATTAAATAAAAGATTGCTCTCTGGAACAAAGAATAATATTTAAGGTTGCTCATGTTCATGTGTGTGAATGTGTGCAGTGTGCTTGATTTAGTTAGCGGATCAGATCAATGAATTAAGCTGCTCATTATGATGGCCTGCTCTTGCTGGTCATTAAGAAAAACGCATGTAGAATTTGCCACCCTGGCCCCTATGAAGTGTGGGTAATTACCACTAATGTATCATCGCCTATTCAAGAACATAACGTTTCGTTTCGGAGGGCGACAGTGAAACACCTCTGACCTAAATGTTTCAATTATTCATAAGACTCCTATTATTCATTTTAAAGTCATATTCCACATGATTAACAGTTTCCATATTAATATCCCGTACAGTGTTGTAAGTGCTAACAGTTCATATAGAATAATATTATATTTGTATTGAAACATCATCATATAACTGTCAGCCTTTATAACTGACGCCTCATAGAAGACACATTTTAAACTATTTTTCATTAGTCATCAATGTTGTTCACTATAAGTTTGTAGTTATTGTATATTGTATGCCTGCTTTAGTAACCAAACTAGTTTTGTAAATGTTTTTAAAAAGCCTGATTTTTTGGGTGCATTAGAATGTATTGTAAAAGCTAATATCGTGTTGATGTAAGGGTTCCAAAAAAGTGCTGATCGACATTAACATCTTGATATATTTAGAGAATAGTCACAAGCGGGTGATTGAAAAGTGTTGTCTATATTGTCTAAGAAGTCTGTGTGATTTTATATTAAATCTTTATATTTTTTAAAGTAGATAACCAGTAGTGATATTAATTTTGGAGTAAGACACGACACTGAACAATGCTCTGTAGTTTTGATTCTTTTTTCTATTTACTGTGATTCATCTAAAATGCTTTACATGAGTTTGACATGACATTTAGTTCCTAATTCAAATTCATATCTACAAAAACGTCTTGTGCATCCAATTTACAGATGTGAAGTGAAGCTTTATTGAGCTGGCATATTTCCACTCAGTTTAGATTGTTTTGATCCTTTAATAAGAAATAACAGTAACTGATGATTACATTTGAATCAGATGTGTGTGTGCATGCCTGTTCATGGTACAAATCACTTCCAAATGCAGCTGTTTTCAATAATAGTTATGTTTAATCCAAATGTTTTAAGAACACATGCTCCCGAAATCTGTATATTGTATACAACACACACAAATCCAGACACAGGGTGGGATTTAACTTTTACATATACAGTCTATGGATTTAACACGATAATATTTGTCCTTAAAAAATAAGAGCATCTACACTTATATCTAATTTTCCTGAAAGTAATTTAACATATGCTGTTAAATGCTTTGACATAACCAACACAGTGTACCCTTATTCAAATAAAACTGCACATATACCTCCTATTAGCCTGTGCATAAACATATGTGCCCATTAGGAGACCTATTTTTATTCCAGAGGCATCTTACTACGGTGTTGTGAGGACAGAGGATCATGGAGGGTAATAATGGCTGCATTATTACTCCTCTTATTGTGTCTTAATTAGTGGCATATAATTACACACTAATGCAGTGAGGGCTATTAAAGACATAGAGGCCTGCTGATTGGGGAATTAAAGCAACGTACACACACACGCACACCCACCCACACACACACACACACACACACACACACACACACACACACACACACACACACACACACACACACACACACACACACACACACACACTTTTTACAACCACTTTTGTCATGAAGCAAAAAAAAGAAGTTCCTTTTAACTAGGAATCACAGACACCCTGTAGTGAAAGTGTGTGCGAAAATGTGTGTATAAAAGAAAGTGATAGATTTGAAGAGATAACCTAGAGATCTTGCCGCAATAGAGGAAAAGTAGAGAAAATTAGGAAGAAAACTGGATGATTAAGATGAGAGAAGAAGATGTGTGTAATCACTATCTATCCTGCTTGTTAGCAATGAGGCAAACATAGGTTAATAATCATATTAATTCCTCACTCCCACGCCTCTCCTCCACTGGTGCATCTCAATTATTTGTTCAGACGCTGGTGTGACAATAGTGTCGGCTTTGGGAGCCTTTGGGATGCTAAACAGGGGACATGAGGTTTAATATAAGTACATTTTTAGAGGGCTGGACCTGGTGCTTTGTTTGTGCTGGCTAGAGGAGAAGCTTCAAAGCTTTTAAACAGAGCAAACAAAAGAGAAAAACTTGATCCGATAACCCTGCCTGCTTTTGAAGTTATCAAGCCACTCATATGCATTTTATGAAGATCATCACGGATTAACCCAAATGTTAATTCAAGATGTGATTCATGTCAAGGTGTCGCTGTCATGATGTGGATACTTAATGACTTGTGGAAGACGATAGCTTGACTTTAGTCTCAATATTTATTTGAGTAAAGTTTGTCTCAGGTACTTTCTTTATCTTGAATTTGTCGAATCACATTTCATGTTAAAATGATGAACATTTACTTCATCCTCTTGCTAAATTGTTTAATATATAATGTATATTTCCTCCAACTCATAGTTAGATGTTCAAAAGAGGAACTTTGTTATAGTAAATTCAAAGTCTTAAAAGCTCAAGGGACTTTCATGTTTTGAAAATGAAAAATTACTCCCAGACTTCCCTCTTACCATTATAACTGTATGACCCCTTTGCTGTTGCAGCCTAAGCGTTTACATTTAAATAATAAGTGGTCCTAATTAAATGGTTGTTGTATTTAAAAACTCCTGGTATGAATTAAGGTAAACTTATAAAGTCATCAAATATGAATTTCTGAGAGCAACTGGCTGTGCTGTTATTGTTTAATGTTGTAGACTGTAAAATGATCACAACTAAGTACATACATATACAATAATTAATAAGTGTGTGTTTTAAAATAAAATCTATAACATACTTAACTCTGCAAATTGTTATTGAGTGCATTTGAAATTGTGTGGTTTCTTTGACATCACATTATCTCACCACAATGTATAAAAGAAAGCCCCGTTTAATGAAATACATCTATGTGTGACTGACTTCAATTACGATCCGTGAAAAGTGATCCCCGAAAAACGTGTGGACACTTAATCCAAGTATTTAAATAATTACAACACCAAAAAAGATTTGTTTTTAAGTTCTTTATGAATATTCTCAGATAAATATTGTTATAATACAAGCATTACATGTTCAATTTACTATTAAATAACACACAAAATAAGTGCAACAGGCCTTTAAATAAACAAAACATGAAGAGCTATTTGTCTTCAACCGATCGGCATGCCAGATTAAAATAGAATCAATAGAATAAGAGCAAACGATATATAAACAGAGTTGTTGGCTTGCATTGTAAATCATTTTAGATTGTTGTCTCCTAAATCAAAGACTTCTTTGGGTTCAGCGTCTTTTTTCTGATTGTATTTATCAGTGCCACATTACAGTATGTGGTAAATGCCCTCACAAATTGTGCAAATAAATTATGATTTCAATCAACATGGGTCTAATGAAAAATGCATTTCACAGCACAATGTTACTTAGTTTTTACAACTCTCCCACAGCTGCACCACTGATAGGCCTATTCTGTCTTACTTTATGCAATAACAATGTCCTTCTTGTTTGCGTTACTTTTCAAAAATGACCCGCAAGTTACCCGGTTAGGACAGCAGGAGAGCCGGGTGAAGCGGGTGTCCTTTCCCTTCAAGCAGGTCGCTTTTCTCCATCAGTGAGACCGCTGAGCAAAGCTGGGAAGGGCCACTCTGAAGCCCCGTCAAACTGGGAATGGGTCCCAGGGATGGGGTGGGTTTTATTGGCAGAGGTACGGCGGGAAGGGTTTGCCCGTTGGCATTGTGGTACAGGCCCTTCGCTGACACACTGAAGGGTGCATACTCAGATGATGCGGGGACGTGCACGCCACCCATGGACTCCGACAGCATCCCGACATGCGGCCACATGGAGTTGACCACGCTGCTGAGCTGAGGGGGCACCGGGTACCCCAGGTGATGCATGACAGAGGTGAGGGGGAGCCCGCTGGCCATCACACCCTTGTAGTCCCTTCCTATAATGTTCTCAATGGCGAATGGATGTTTAAACCCGCCGGACTGTGCGCACGTAATGCCCCCATAACCCTGAAAGTGGGGGATTCGACCCACGGTGCTTGCCGGGCCGCCTGTGTGCTCATGATGGCCGGATGCTGTGCCCAGCTTGCTTCCCGGGTGGTGGTGGTGATGGTGAAAGTAATGCATCATCGGGGAGCTCTTGCAGGCCATTTGCTCAGCCCGAAGCACCTTGAAGCGCTTTCGTCTCCTCAGGAAACTGCCGTTCTCAAACATGTCACCGCACTCCGGGTGGAGAGCCCAGAAGCTGCCTTTCCCGGGCTGATCGGGCCGCCGAGGGATCTTGATAAAGCAGTCGTTAAAGGACAGGTTGTGTCGCAGGGAATTCTGCCATCGTTGAGTATTCTCTCGATAATAAGGAAACCGGTCCATGATGAACTTATAAATGTCACTCAGTGGCAGCATCTTTTCGGATGAGTTTTGGATAGCCATCGCTGTCAGTGATATGTAGGAGTATGGAGGCTTCTGGTCGCTGTAAGAGTTCTTCCCAGGACGAGGCATGACTGGATACTGTTTTCTATAAGTTTAAATTGTTAAATAAAACAGCCTTTAAGATATATTTTAAGTGCTATATTTTAAGTAGCTAATTTGACAGTTTTAATTTCAGTCTCCATCTGACGAATCGGATCCAAAGTGCTGTGCCATCCGATAAGAAGCTGGTAAATTGTTGTTATTTCTATACAGTAGCCTCGAGGCCCGCTGATGTCAAGTATGATCCGTGAGAGTCTCCTGCATCCCAGGAAAGTTTCTTATAAAGACTATCTTTCAATTTATGCTTTTGTCGTTGTGCGAATAAATCAGTCTCTGTGCGTAAAAGTTAAGAGGTCCTCTCAGTTTCCTCCCGTCTTCTCTTCCCTTGAAGGATGTGAGGGGCCAGTTTGCTCCGCTGCCAGTGTGCGGTGTGTGCTCCTCTCCTCGTGTGCGATGCTCGCACTCGCCAAACGCCGTTTTTGTAAGACCCCCGCAGGTCGCTTGCTCTATTATCTGTTATCCAGACACTTAGGGGACACGTCAGGGGAGAGCAGAGAGGGGTGTGTGTGTGTGTGTGTGTGTGTGTGTGTGTGTGTGTGTGTGTGTGTGTGTGTGTGTGTGTGTGTGTGTGTGTGTGCGTGCGTGTGTGTGTGCGTGCGTGTGCGTGTGTGTGTGTGTGTGTATGTGTGTGTGTTATGAGAGCGATGAATAAAAATGAGGTGTAGTGGGTGGTTCATTTAAGACGCGTTTGCTTCTAATCTCCTGTTTGCCAATCAACGAGTCCTGCGTATCACTGTGACAGAGAGTAACTGATTTTAACCTAAACTCAATATCTTTCAGCATGTTGCTTAATCTATAGCTACAAGCCTGCCCCTGACCTTTGAAGTCTGTCTACAAAACCTCTCAATTACATTTTCAATTTGAATGGGATCTGCATGTTATGGTGAGAGCTCCTGTGCTTTGCTTAGATTGCTGTGTAATACACATTTGAGAAAGTATATTGTCTATTAATAACGTCAAGATATCTTGTGTTGAGATGTGATTGACATAATGTGGCTTTTAATTGCCACCTTAGCATATGTTACTTGAGGAAATACTTAAAGAAGTGAATATATAAATACAACTTATTTGTTAAATTTGCTCGAATGCACTTTCAGACTTTGCAAACAATAAATCACGTATTCCTTTGCGCACAATCATCAGTGCGCTACTCCTCTGCTCTGAATTACACAAGCGCGCACACACACACACACACACACACACACACACACACACACACACACACAACACACACACACACACACACACACACACACACACACACACAGACAGAGAGAGGGAGGGAGGGGCTGTTGTTGATTAATTGCTGAGAGGGGAGTCCGGCGGCTGTCTGTCTGTTCAAACAGTCTCCGGTGAATCCTACAAGGATGTAAACAAACTTCCTCCCCTGCTCTGAATTCTGTTCAGCGGAGAACAACAAAAGCTGCTCCCCTTCCAGTATATTTTCTTCTCGAGCCAGGTGTCATGACTGGGTCCTTGACGGCTCCTGTCTTCCCTGGTACCCCGGTGGGGCCCCGAATACATTACAATAATTAAGCCTTTCGTGATTTAGCCTCCTAGGAGAGAAGTCCAACAATGTAATTAAGGGCAAGCTTGCTGTTATAGGTATGAATATTCAAAACTGTGTCAATTAATTAGCCGGTGTATCTCTCCCGTTATGCCCCAGTCCTTCAAGCCCACTCAAAAGGTCAACTGTGTCGACGGAGAGCATATTTTAAAGAGATCATGTAATTGTGATGAAAAGCTCTTTTTATTGCCACTTTGCCTGACAAAGAGTGAACATATATTCATAGCTAAATAAAGATAGTCGTTGTTCTGCTTCTGTTTTTCTTTGCATAATTGTTTTCCTGGCGCCTGAAAAATTAGTTTTGAAACTCTGAGGCCCTCAGAGGCCAACGCGGGTAAAAGCATCCTCTTTAAACGCCCGAGAAAGATCAATATTAAATCTGTTTTCACAAAGGGGGCTGTTAAATAGACACCGTGGCTGATCTGCATAACAAAATTAATTAGGTAGTCTATGGCAGTCTTCGCTTGCACCCAACTCCTGGACAAATAACTAGTTGTAAAGCACACCTTCTGGGCATATGGAACATATGCTGGAATTATCCTTAATTGACTAATTACATAAATTACTCATTAAGTTTACAGCACATCAATTATAAAAGATGTATCAATTAATTTTGCATAAATTACAAGCGGCATGCTGCACTAAGAGGGCGGCGGAGGGAATGAGGGTCGCCAGGAGGGGGTCTAATGCAAGGTGGAGCGTTTATATGTGTGTGTGCGTGTGTGAGTGCGTGTGAGTGACGGTCGTCTGTTTGTTTCCTGTCTCTAATAATTATTTGTTCAGCTTAAGGGCAAAGATATTGTTTCTCTGTCTCCCATTCGCAAAGGGAAAGTGTGGGGGTAATGGCAATTATACTAATAATAATAATCTTAAAGACCTCTCTCCAAGTCATAAGGGGCTCATCGTCACGGAGAGAGCAATTAAAATCAATTAGCGAGGAGGCCTATTGTTTTCAATGGAAAATTAAACCAGTTTAGGACTGTGTTGCAGACGCTGTAAGCCTTACTCGTGTAATGGGAAATTATTTAGAGGAAAAATACAACAGTTTCCCCATAAAAGAGCGAGCAAAATGGGCACTAATGGATCAAAGCTGCTGCGTGTCTGCCTGTTGCCTTCAAGAGTTATCTCAGTCAGTAAAGGTAAAACTATCATTATACATCGCAGTGACTTACTTAGTATTCTGCAAATGAAGCTTTCAGTCATGTATTTGGCAACCTCTCTGGCCTCAAACTTCTATAACAACAACAAAACTGTCACTAGAAGAAAATAAATAATTATTAACCAGAAAAATGTTTCATGTTTCTTTCTTTTGAACAACCCCAAGTAACAATTTTACATTGTACACAAGCGTCAGCATTATATTAAAAATAAATATTTGAATGTGCAACATCATTTTTGTCTGCTACAGTAGTAACATATTGTAAACAGTTACAGGGTGGGCAAAATAAGAGAACAATGCAATGAAATCGATATCAATACACCAACCATAAGTAGTTTTTGCTTTAATTTTGACTTTGCCAGAGTGTTCATAAAGCTCTAAACTATTGTTTAGAGACTGTAGTCTGTGGTTCTGTTGCATTGGACTGCTCTGAATTGTTCAATATTCCTTTAACTTCGTTTTTGTCCCTGTTCTTTAAACACTGAGTGTCTATATTTTCATACTGAGGAAGCTGGCTTTCACACAGCACAGCACAGATGTGATTGTGCATAGAATCATTTCAGCTGATTTGAACACTTTTCATATCTAGTTCTTTACTGGACGGGCAGAATAGCGATCCCTAAGTATGAGCTGTAGTTTTTACCATCTGCAGTTGACAATAAAATGTACATTTTGAAAGGCATGTGCACCATCCTTTCCTGTTGGTGATGTAAAAAATACATTGGAGAAGGAATTTTGACATTACCCATTTTGGTAATATATTTTTGCTGGTTTTGTAGTAATTTTGGCCTGAGCACTCTCTCACACACACACATAACCACACACACACACACACACACACACACCCAAAACCAAACAACACGCTACTTTACTAGAATGGATCCAATTACATGAAAGTAAAAGGGGAGAGTGTATACTTTCTCTGACTGTACAAAGTATTTCAATACAAACCTTGAACAATTCACCAAAATTCGTTTTTCAGAGACTTAGACTTTGAGAAACACGTTTTCCCTTCCACACATTTCCTCACTAACTTGTGTATGTATCTTTTAAATTGCTTGTGTTCCCACTGAAGACGTAGCTTGTTAGAAGGATGTGGAACAAGTATCCGTACCTGAACTTATACTGAGGGATCCCTCTCTCATATCCATCTCTAAATTATTTGTATACTGAGGGCCTTTTATCTTATCTCAGCCACAAGGGTAAACGTAAAGCAGATTTACTCGTGTGGATATCCCAAATTGTGTTAAAGTCGATGGAGCTGTGAGGTTTCTTCCACCTCCCTTTTGCTTTCATAAATTGTCAGGGTATTTTTATTAAAGGAGTATCCACTTGACTAAAATAGTCCTGATAATACAGCAATAGACTGAACTCCAAAGGGAACCTTGACATCTTTTCTCTATCCTTTATTTACAGCAACCTTACAATAGGATGGGAATTAGTACAGAAGATCACTTCTCAAAGGAAAACCTTAAACCTTGGTTCCTTATACCTAAATCTTTGGGTGTTTTACTGGAACTATCGACGATGAAAATTTTATTTATAGGTGTGTTAACTGATTTGTCGTGTACTTTTCCCTTTTGCCATCTGCAGTCAGTTACACACTAGATATACACTAAACATACATGCACAACACTAGATATATTATGATAACCAAAAGCTCACCTTTCTGCCAAATGCTTTGACCGATTGTGTGAGGGTTTTATTTGGAAGATTTAGCCGGAAATCATTTTTATGGCTTGCTCTGTTCTAAGAGTACAAAGACCATTTGGCTCACCACATTGGAAGTGCACTAACTCCATTACTGTCAGACCAGAGCATCACTGCCTTTCCCACAAATAGGAAATCACAGCATCTGTTGAGATGCAATGTCGATGAATGTTGTTCTCACCTAAAAGCAATTGACAGTAAAATGAAAAAAAGCAAACACACACACACACACACACACACACACACACACACACACACACAAACACACTCACTCACACACACAAGGTTACTGCTGACTTTTCATTTCTAGACATGCTTGACAAGATATCAATCAGTCATAATTGTATCGTTTTTCCAACGTCAAACAAGTGAATCAGATGACGGTACTGTACATCATTATATGATTGTATAGCTGATATAAATGTATCAATTGAAACTCCTTGAACCAGCATGACTGTGTGAGATGCAGCATTTTGAAACCAACAGTATGCATTCATAATAAAATCATGATACTGCAAGGTAAGGCTGATGTTT